TGCAGATTTCTTATATTTTTTCTTCTACCCTGAAGATGGAGGCGATACGTTCCTCCGAAACGTCGGTTAACACCACATATACACGGTGCCAAATCCCAGAAGACTGCTTTCTTCATAGTCACCGCCGTGAAAGCCTCAAATCTTACATCGTGTTTAGACCTTCTTCCGAAAAACCAGTAGCATGGACTTCATTTCATATCGGTCTCCTCTGCTATCAGATATGAAGGGGGGGGGGAGATTATGCCGACATGAACAGAAAGGAGTCAACGACGCTGATCAAAATTGCTGGCAGGAACTGGTTCAGGTGGCGAAGGCATGGTTTCCGATTAGGTGTCCTCTGTCTCTCTCTTTATCCGCCCCCATCTCTTTCTCCCCCTTCCAAAGACCACAACGTCAATCCAACCCCACTGTGGTATTAAAACTTTTAGCGAAGCCAATTAATTTTTGATGACGTAGCTTTGAAATTTTTATTTTGTACTTACGTCACTAATATTATATCGTTCTAGAACAGACATAGGAGAATACTCTGCGGAAGCTCTCAATTTCCAGCGAACGTTCCTTCAGGATGACAACTGAAGTGCTGCTAGACAGAACTATCGAACAAGTTATAAGAATGAAATGAAAAACTACTAGGAGTTTCAAAATTACATACAGCAGTGGTTTTTCAACTTTATGTTCTATGGACCACTTGTGATAATAAAAAAAAGTCATTGATCATTTGATTTCGGGGGTAATAAAGCGCTTGTTTTGGAAGAAGAGATTATTGTGATCACTTCCAATCTCTTCGCGCAAGAAGCTGAAGTGTCTAGTGCTCAATGGGTGCGCATTGTTGTACTTCGTAAATTTTACTTCTTCCTCCAGCACTATTTTAAAACTATTTGGAATCTTCTTTACTCAAGAGATGTTCCCGAAGAATGATACAGTGTGTTGCAGTCTATAATCGTGCCACTGATTAGACGTGTACACATAGGCCACTCATCCTTGGCATTGCTGAAGTGCCGTCAGCATACATATCAACACATCGTGAACAGGCGAGGTTATTGTTTAAAACAAATTCATTTAATGCTTCGTAAATTGCTTTGCACGTTGTGTTGGTAGGCAGAAGAAGACACGAAATGAATTCAGCATAGTTAGTTAGTTATGTAGAGAGGGTGGGTTTCCCCATACACCGCGACCAGTTTGATCTATTGTGCTTCCTCTATGATATTCTACCAGTCTCTTTACCCTACCGATAAATGGTGCGTACCATCAGTCCCGCCGAGCAAGCGAGTTCGGCCACTTGTTTAGCGGTGTCTATAATGCTCCCCCATTTTTCCGGGAATGAAATATCTGACATGTGCCAGAAGGTTGGAATCTCCCACAATGTCTGTGAACTCTTCTCTTACGGGAGTTTCCCATTGAACCTGAACTGTTAATTCATGAGAAATGCGAGTTATTCTAAAGAAGCTTCAGGTATAGACTTCTTCTTCTTCTTCTATTCCTGTTGCTCCCACTTGGAGCATAGGGCATCCGTGAAACGCTCGTTTCACTTCAGATTTCTTATTATTCTAAGACAGTCGGTACGACTCCTTGGACGGGGGATCAGCCCGTCGAAAGGCCGGTACCTGACGCAAACACAGAATAAACGCAGACAGACATCCATTCCTTGAGTGGGATTCGAACCCACGATCCAAATGTTCGAGCGAGCGAAAAATGTCATCCCTTAGAACGCGCGGCCACTGTGATCGGCCAGGTAAAGACTAGCAGTTAAATTTTCCCTTTCAGTTGTGGGTTGCAATTGAACCCATGACCTCCTACTCGAACTCACACGTTTTGAGAAACACTCTTAAAATGTTCATTATGTGCATGCATACAGGAATGTAACGCCACTCAATTAGCCAGCCAATTAGATCACGAAATATCAACGAACGCGATTTAGAAAAAAGGAGATTGAAATTGAAGCCAGGAATTCAGACCGTTCGACCATCGCGAGCCCGCATGTTATCATGCAACTTATATTACTAAGCCGCATGACGTAATCAGTAGTATTGCAACAGGATAAGGACTCATCTGTCACGAGAAGGAAGCGGGGTGTGGAGGGTACGGAAATGTTGCCGAATGTACGTACACCACCGGACGTTGCGGATCATTAAATGTCGCTCCTGCTTCGCTTTATGGAGATAAAGAGAGTTGCAGTGAAGGAAGGCCTAATATACATTGCTTTCCTCAGTTTCTCCAGGGAAATGGTGACAAGTTACCTTAAAATAGGTCACGACCTCATAATTTCACATTCTTTGGAATTCGTCGTTTTCATCGTCCGCCAATTAGCTGCTGAACACCAGTGATGGCGAACTGCTGGCACCGGTGCCAAGTCTGGTACCGAATGAGACACTGGCTGATTCCGGGTAACTATAAGTTTTCTTTATATTGTCACGTGTTGGGTATGTCACGCGACAAATAACTTCACGTGGGTCTCGGATTCAGCGAATCTTTATTGAACACTCACACTTATACACTTACGAGTACAATTATTATCCACTGCTTCACTGTTATAATTACTTCTTGTACCACTGATCTCGGCTGCTGTATTTCGAATGTCTTCTGTAGCGGCTGTTCCCAGGCTTACTTCTGTATCTCTCGGCATCTGCCCCGAGACGCCCGAGACTGTCTGGCGAGTCAGTCAGAGTCAGAGTCAGAGTTACATTGCGACTGACGGTCAGTCAGTCAGTAAGTCTTGGTGTCGAGCCCCATTTGGGGCTCATGACCAGATATTAATTATTACCGTTTGACAGTTACGGTCTTGTTTCAATGGGGCGCCCTCTCTGACGAGAGGACGGGTCTGTCTTTTGTATATGCTGCTGGCCCTTGCCAGCGCAGTCTTTCTCGGGTCCGAGTCCCTTGGGACTCGCGACCATATTTTACTGTCTCAGAATTGAGACTTCCCTTTTCGTCGCCTCCTACGACTCGCAGGGTCACGGTGGAGGTATTCGACCCCGCCTCCACACGGGGTCTCCCTCTCTGTCTGGCGAATGCATTCAACCCCCTTTTAGACCCTCGGCCGCTGCTATGCAAATGAACCCTCTATTATAACCGTGGAAACGCTGCTTTGTTGATTCTGCGATTCCTACGCAACGACCCACTGTTATTGCGTTGTCTCTGTGGGAACGCTCTGTGTATTCGTTGTAACCATGGAGATTCGACGCTCTCGACGCAACGGCTCACTGTTGTTGCGTTACTGTGGAAGTGTCTTTTCCAAACACGTTACAATATGTATCAGCACTTGGAGCCATCTGATAATTCGAAATTTCACCAGTTTATTATTTCACATTCGTAAGTCACTGTCGCGCGTTATTGACCAGACAAGGGGTTTTGATTGATAAATATGTTCATTGAACACGTATAAATCGTAACTACAAGGAATTGTAACGCCCTCACTAATTCATGCACTCTACTTCTCAGTTCACTATGCCTTCACCAGTCGTTGCCTGGTAAAGGATCTCTCAACAATGTCCTCTGCTTCCATGCTCATATCCTTACCGACTGTCGACTGTCTTGCACTTAACCTAGTGCTCCAGCTGTCAAACTGACTGGCTACTAATTTGCTGCTGGTCCTCGCCAGCACAATAATTCTTGGTCTTCATTCCCAAGGGACTCATGATCATATTTTACAGCCTCGCGGCTCTGGGAGCTTTCAGACCACTCTCTGTCCAACTGACTGAATGCTAATTGCTGCTGGTCCTTGCCGGCATGGTGATTTTAAAACGCCGCTTCAAACAATTCCTCCATTTCTCCGTTTCCGCTCAAAAATGCCTAGCAACGGCTGTCTCTCCTAGATCGATGTCAAAATTTATTTTATTTTTTGTTTTTTTATTTATCCGGCCCTAATCTTGAGTAGTGCGGTTACTCAGAGAGAAAGAGTCGAAAGAAAACTTTTTGTTGTATTGTCGATTATTTTTATGTATATTTATTAGCACTCAGAATTAAATACATTCTTTAAGCTAATTTGCTAATTTAAACACCGTCCTCGTGTGCTTATTGTATCGTGATGAGGGCTCCATCAACGAGAGATCCTCTTCAACCATCAGGTAGATCTGCTGGCCATAATTTCTTTAACGTTCTTCGTTGTTGTTGTTCCAGTAGGGGCTGCAGTAATGTATTACTATAGTGTCCTAGTTTATCATGATATTTTATGCTTTTTTCTTGGATGACTTCTTTGATGGATGATACATTGAGATCGTCATGTAGGGTCTGATTAGTCACATACCAAGGTGCATTTGTGATCATCCGCAGTATTTTGGACTGCCTTCGTTGCATTATGGCTATGTTCGATTTACTGGCGCATCCCTATAGTTCGATTCCATAGGTCCAAATAGGCTTTATGATTGTCTTGTAAAGAAGTACTTTACTATCTAGCGATGTGCTAGATTTCAGCAATGAAATACATCAAGACAAATTAAACAATCCAACCCAAAAACGAAATTAGTGTAATTTGTCACGCTAAGAATTAAGAAACTGTCTAGAGTGTAGTATTAGATATTCCATTACTTCACCAAGTGGGGCTGACACCATTTCATTCTGGCTAGTAGCATGTGATGTAAATATGGGAAAAGGAATATTATAAAGAATGCAGATAAGAAAATGTTAAGAACTTAATAGTTCTCTATTCAAATAAAACAATGTTCTCTCATGAAATCTGTGGATAGGTATATGTAAAATGGTAATTCAGAGAGACAGAGAAATAAATGTAAGTCTTGACGATGTCAGGAACTATTTGAACATGGACAGTGAAGTTCTGATAATTTGTAGAAATCTGTGATATCCCATTCATCAATATACTTCAATCTTTCCGGAAGAAATTTAGTGGCATTTCATATCTTTATGCCAAATGTGTATAGTACTTAAACCTTGAAACCTGCAGAATGTCTGTTTTTCAAGTTTATGGCAGTAAACGAAGCTAGCACTCTCTACCCGGAAGTCAGCCGTACTATAGGCGTTATGACGGTTATGACCTGGGGCGTGGGCCGGCTATGAGAACACATGAATGGGAAAGACAACTGCATCCATTTCTCATGTTCAGCAGAGAGGTGGTAGAAAGCGCGTATGAAGAAGACTTCGTATGTAATCGCACTGCGTAACATTCGAGAAAAAAATAATTGTTCGAAAATGTGTGATACTCTGCGCATCACAGATATCAGACCTACCCTACCGTCTCATTCCACATGTACCGAAGGCCATGGAATCATTGCTGCCAATATGCAGGAAGTGTGACTGGAAACTTCGTAGAACTTGTTTTTAGTGGTTATGTTATGTAGGAAAACAGTTTATGTATCAAGGCTAATATGAAATTTTATTTCTGTCAAGCCTAATGTTTAGTCTCAGACAACGTTACTGCGTAAGTTTATCACATATTTTAATCGGAAAGTTATTGAGCATTTTCAAGTAGCCAGCGGATTAACCTAACCTTACTTCGATAATGTTGTGCAAATGTCACGTCTTCTTATGTAATTTGTTCCGACGATTACAGGATATACTTTCAGGTCCACATTCTGTGGGCATGAGCAGTTTCCATGCTGTTATGGCAGGTATTGCTCAATGAGGACCAAAAATTTCGTTCTGTTTCTTATATGTGTTGTGGCCACCAGTATATTCCTCATTCTGGTAGGCAATCAGCGCCCTTCAATCCAGACACTTGTGACAGAAACTCACAAGCAGCTGAACAATCTAAAGAATTTCAAGGTAATACAAATTGAATTGTTTTGATTTATTAAATGCCTACTGTGTGATTATTTAATTTCACTTACGCTGACATATAATTTATAATATAAAAATGCTGGTGGTGATTGCTAATTATAGCTTGAAGACCTATCTATGCTAGGTGGTATACTTAATGTAAAGTTTGTATTTCAGGAGAATCTGGAAAATGCAGAAGAAAAGAGGTTCTTAGCAGATGACAAGTATCTTACTTTGTTAGGATTTACTGAACATCCACGACTTTATCCAGCAGCAATTTGGAAAAACACTTCTCTTCCCATAATTGTCACTTATGTAAGTGATTTCATTTACACATGTTAAATTCATGAAGTGTAGATTTCTTCCATTACCTTCTTGTGACATTAAGGATTGACAGTAACCAGTTCATGTCATAAGAGAAGTCAGTTCCTATGGTTAAATATTATGTTCTCTCAAAATGTNTTCCAAGGGAATGTGGAAATAGTATGTGCTCCTTTTTCAGAATTCTTTTAACCCATCCATTGTCTTCTGTTAGGTCACTGTGTGACCTTTCCAGTTGATAAAAATATTAAGTAAATCAAGAATCAGAAGCAAAAATGTTTAACATGCATGAAATAAAACAACATTAATTCCATTAACTGATACTGAACCATCAGTGCACAGTAATGTAATTTTGATTACACTGCTGTTTTCTCTGCTGCTCAATTTTGTATTCAGTTTTCTGTAAAATAATACCATAGTATTTTATGTATAAGTGTTTGTTGAATGCAATAATGGATTGTCACTAATAAATGATGGTGTATTTACTTTGGCACATTAATTCTTGAGACTAATATTGAATGTAGCTTGTTGTAGTGGCCAAGTGCCACATTACAGAACAGATACATCCTCAATTTCAGATCAAAGCTGATAACAGCAAAGAATATCTTGCATGGATGGCAGCACCAATCAAATTGCTGAGAGGCTTAGAAACTCTGAACAGAATAAATGTTTACCGTAAAGTCTGGAAAATTCTTACACCTGGGCATCAGCTGTGTATAGGTTCTGAATATCACTGTATCCATATTAAATGTAGTTTATTTATTTGTATTTATTTATATCATCTCTATAGATCATTGTTACATGATATAGGACAAGTCAGTTACCTGACCAGCACTGTGCTCAGAAAAGAATGCATCAAACGTCTGATCTGCAGATGATACAGAATGTTCCTGGAGCTGATATACAAACTGTCTTTGAATTTTTACTCTGATGTGGATGAAGGGAGGATAAGAAGATGACTTATATTTACTGATAAAGCATCATTCCACTTGTCTATCTGATTGAGTAAATTACACAACTCTACAAGGACACAAGACTTTGAAATTATGTGTGACATATATAATGTAGTTGGAAATTGTGTGCAGAAATGAATCACTATATTGTGTAACTATTAACTTATAATTCCTTCTACCTTCACTGTAGAGGTAGGAACATTTGAAGAAAAGTAAAAGGTAAAGCTGTCCCTGTAACAGGCCTTGAAGGCCCAAAGGGGTGTGAGAGGTCAAGGCTCCCACTTCTTCTAGATAGTAGGCTCATAGATGGCAGTAATTGTTGTCAGCCTTATGTGCCAGACACTCTTTATGCCCAGGAAGATTCCTGGTACTCATTTCTGTTAGAGGCTGAGTCAACGCCAGGATCATATTGTGGCTGCAAGGATTAGGTCAATTGAAAAACCCAGTGACCTCGTCAGGATTCGATCCCGCAACCTTCCGGCTTGTAGCATAGTGCCTCAACCAACTACACTGCCATGTGCCCCTTTGAAGGAAGTAGGTCTCTTAAATTCTTCACAGAATTTCTTGTTATATTTGCAGCTTGTAGGTCCTTTTCTGTCTTTCACAACAAATTTTTATACATGTTCTTCACTTTTTATTAGGAAATGATACTCTCTTTTGATTTTTCCACACATTACACTGTTATAAATAGTACTGAACTTGCAGAAGTTCAAAGTTACCTTTTGTTCTAAGGTGAAATTTTTCCAAAAAAGATAAGTAATTGATAAGTATTGACCAAAAACTGTGTGTATCCTATTCCTTTCTTTATTTTGATTCTAATTTTGTGGGTGGTTTGACTTATAAAGAGGCTTGTTGAGACCCAGCATATCTTTTTTTTTTCAGCTTCAGGGGCACTGTAACAGTAGTCGATGCAGTGTTATAAATTTTGAACTCAGTTTCTTTCCTTCGCATGTTGAAGAGGAAAGGCTACATGCATTTCGTCCACTTATAATTCAGGTAATTTTTTTCAATAAGCATTGCCTTGTTGAACAGTCACATGTACCACGAATAAGTGGCCTTCATCGTTTTAACAAATTTGCCAGTGTTATGAAATTGCCTTCCACTCTACCTGCAGTTTTATACCACAATATGCTATTTTAGGTCCATCTTGATACCCTATTTCCATAACTACTTTGCTTTCTTTCCCAAAATTTGTGTGTGCATTTTATTATGACCCTTGTGTTTTATGTGGATACTGTGTATATTAACATTCTTATTTTATTTATTAAGGTGACATTAGATCAAAATCATATATCTTGATGTGCCTAATAATGTAATTTGTTATATTAATCCTATGCAGTCTTGATACTGAAAGTGTTGTATAACCCATGGTAAAGTAAAAAGAAGTAAAACTATCCCTGTGCCAGGCCGTGAAGGCCCATAAGGTTGTGAGACGTTGAGGGTCACACATTATCTAGACAATCGGCTCAAAGATGGTACCCATGTTAATGCTTAATACTTGACAGTTGAAACTTATTAACTACAACAGTTATTGACTTTTTGGACATGATCCACCCTCAAATTTTTTAAACATTTTAAAACAACATTTTGGTGACTGGATTCTATCACCTTCTTCAGGTAAAAGCCTATTTGTTTGGACTATTACATGAAGATGGAGACAGGATCCAATCTCTGAAACATTCATTCAATCATTCATTCATTCATTGTTAGAGGAGGTGGGTTTCCCCATGCACTTAGACCAGTTATTGGTCCATTGTGCGATCTCTGAAACATTGCGTTTTAAATAAGAAATGGGACAATGGATAATGTCCAAAAACTCAGTAATTGTGTTAATACACCACCATCACAAACTTTTAGATCTCATGTTAACTACTGCCTTAATGTGTTTAAGAAAGACTGTATGCCTTTTAATTCAGTCTAGAAAACCAATATTAATGGCCATGACAATCCATTACACTGATAACGTGACACCCTCTGTCCACAAACGTTGGCACTAACTTCGCCGACAAGCAGTGGTCACTCAGTCAGTATAGTTTGCTTGCAGACTACAGGCCATGGAGTTTGTTTCTGTTTGTATGCCTATTACTGTTTTACTTCCAATGGTATCATCAATGCAAAATCAGGTTTTCTGTGTTTATGTTCTGTCCGTGAATTGCAATTTATTTATGTTTCTTCTGTAGGATGTTAGTGAAAGTAGTTGGCCGTGTCATAGCTCAAGCGGTTAGTCACTGGCTTCCCACCACGGTGGCCTGTGTTCAATCCTGGGTCTGGTCAAGTGGGATTTGTGGTGGACAAAGTGGCGCTGGCGCAGGTTTTCTCCAAGTACTTTGGTTTCCCCTGCCAATCTTCATTCCACCAAATTCTCCATCATCATAATCACCCAGGGCAGGCTACAGTAGGTCAATCAGTGGCTGCTGTGCCGAGTGGACCCAGTTGGACTCCAACCTCCACTAAGCAAATTTACTTTTTTAATTTTAGTGGAAGTAGTTCATAGCTTATTCCTTGGAATGAAAACCTTACATTTTGCTTTAATAATAATACTATATTCCCCTTGTTCCTCTGTTGCAACAACTTTTCAGGGAGTTAGTCTAGCACACTCCAAAGGTAACTGATACTCTTACTTTTTATATATTGTTGTGTTAATATAAGATGTGTGTTGCCAGAAATTGCTAATGGCAATTTTGTAAAGCATACAGTAGACAAGTGATAGAAGCAATGAAAAGTTACTTATCTGAATGTGTCTAACTGTATTAAAAAAAAATTAAACTGGATTTTGAGTGAAACTATTGAAGTTGCAGGCATTTTGGAAGGAACAGTGTCCCTACAGTAAATTCCTCAAATGCTTCACACCAATGGCAAGTACTTTTAAAAACTTTTAAAATCCTGACATGTATTACTTGTTTAGGATGCTTTGAACAAGGCTGGTGCTGTCCTGTTTCTGGAGTCTGACCAGCGCCTTGTTACTGGACACCTGGAGCCTTTGATTCAACAGGCTTTAGGAGGTGCAGGAGTGGTCAGTTGGGCCACTCACTATGCCACCTCTTCCCTCACTCATCCAAAGATGTTTGATTACTTCCAAACCAAAGTTGACAGCTTCTTTTTCCTGCCCATGGTTGAATCAACAGTGCTGCTGTTCTACAACTTACCTGGTGTCCATAATGGTCTCATGCTGCCATGGGTTCAGTGTGCCCTTACACCAGATTGTATACTCCCAATTGGTAAGTGTTATGTAACCTCCTCTCTGTGGCAAATGTACCCAGTTTTCTTGCAGTGGTATGTATATGCTGAGGTCAAATAGCTTCAGATGAAACTTACAGTCTTATTGTACGAGGTGTTATCAGAAAGTTCTTGAACTAGGTCAAAAAAGAAATTCTGGCTTAACTTACTCAATTTTGGCTGTGATCTCCTTCAAAATAGTCTCCTTGGGGATGTATACAGCTATCCCATAATTTTTTCCACACTTCAGAAGCACTATGGAAGTCATTTTCCTTGATGCTGTTGAGTACCACTTGTGATTCCCTTTGGATGTCAGACACTGTTTCAAAATGTCATCCCTTCAGTTTCATTTTCAATTTGGGAAACAAAGCGAATCACAGGGGGCTAAGTTCGGCAAGTAGGGAGGATGGGGAACGTTAACCATGTTGTTGTTAGTCATAGACTCTGTGGTTTTCAGGGATGTGTGGGTGGGCACATTGTCATGATGAAGGGGCCAGTTGTGGTTGCACCAAAGCACCAGTCTTCTTCAATGCACATTTTCTCTTGAGGGGGGGTCACAGTAAAAGTCAGAGCTGGCTGAAGTGTTAGGAGAAACAAATTCACGGTGAACAGTCTCCTTCACACCAAAAAAATCAGTGAGCATGCTCTGTTGAACTCTGGACCTGCCATGCCTTTTGTGCTCTTTGTGATTGTGAGCTCTTTCACTGTGATGATTGTTGCTTTGTTTCTGAATCATAACCATAAATCCAACTTTCATCACACATTATAATCCTAGAGATACTCATAAAAGTTGGGTCCTCGTTAGCCTTCTCTCATAGCTCAAGACACATGTTTACGTGCCACTGCTTTTGATCATTTGTCAAGAGTTGGGGAACATACTTTGTGGCAATGGAATGCATCTTCAAATTCTCTGTTAGAGCTCGTGGCAAACTCCATAACTGATCCCAGCGGTGTCTGCAAGCTCATGGATTGTTCGGTGATGGTCTTTGTGGATGAGTTCTCAAATTTTTTCAACATTTTCTGTCATTTTGCTGGTGCACCCTGAATATTCATTATCTTCAGTTGACACTTGTAGCACCTCGTATGGGATGTATTTATTTATTTACTTTTTGGTACTTATCTATAAGCTGCTGCCATATATAGATGTTCATTTCTTCAATTGTGGCCTTACTACCACCTGTTCATAAAGCTAGCCATGGCCAACATTATTTTTTTTTATTGCTAGTGGGGTGGGGCTGAGTCCCTTGTACTGTGACCACTTCTGGCCTATTGTACCAGCCCCAGGTGATAGGTGAGGGTGATTGTGGACCAGTTGGTGGTATGAAGATTGGCAAGGGAAACCGAAGTACTCAGAGAAAACCTGACCCAGCACCACTTTGTCCACCACAAATCCCACTTGACCAGACACGGGATCGAACCTGGGCCACTGCAGTGGGAAGCCAGTGACTAACCGCTTGAGCTATGGCGTGGCCAATGCTATATGTACTAAGGTCCATTCGCATTACTGCAGAAGTATGACATTGCCAAACTCAGATACTTCTGAATGTGCAGTTTGTGCTACATATGCATTGTGAACATATACATAATTGGATTTTTTAATTGACTTAATCCTTCCAGCCGCAATGTGGCCCTGAGATCGACTCAGCCTCTAACAGAAATGAGTACCAGGAATTAAATAATCTTCCTCGGAAGTAAAGGGCTGCCGGTGCTTAAGGCTGACAACCTTATCGCCATCTTTGAGCCGATCATCTAGATAATGTGGGGACCCTCACCGTCTCAAAATNTAAATAATCTTCCTCGGAAGTAAAGGGCTGCCGGTGCTTAAGGCTGGCAACCTTACTGCCATCTTTGAACCGATCATCTAGATAATGTGGGACCCTCACCGTCTCAAAATTCTATGGGCCTTCACGGTCTGGTACAGGGATAGCTTTACTTTACTTTTTACAGTATAACAAGTCGTGGTATATCAAGGGTCCTCTGTACTCTCTTCCTCCTCCTTGTCCTCCTCCTACTCCTCCACCATTATCACCACCACTATCACAACATCATCATTGTCATCATTATTGTATGAGGTAGAAATGGTAGTTTTTCTACTGTCCCAATTCTGAAAATGGCCTTGTGGCTGTTGTCTTAATGCTTTTCTTTTTCCTTGTATTATAATTATTAGTATATATGCAGTGCTGTTTCTGTAATTGGGCTTGTAGCTGTTGACTTGTCTCATGAACTTAAGGAACTAAAGTGATGTCATCACCATCATCATATTGTATTGGATAGATGAGGAAGTTATTCAAACGATGTTATTACAGACACAAACATATGTAACTTTCAGTTTTAAGGTACACTGTGTTACTGCAAATTACATTATATCTTTTTCTGTGTCTCTGACAGGTGCACAATCCGGTGGTTGCCGTTTCAACAAAAAGCCACAGTATCGTTACTCAGGATGCCATCGGTATGATGGTTCTGCTCTCAATATTGTCCTTGGCCTTAAATTTGGATTTGATGAAGGAAAGTATACATACAGAGGTCATACAGAGAAATTCTTCAGGAAAGTGGGACCAGATATTATTGCAGCAGAGATGGCAGGATTGGAGGGAAATGCTACTGAGTCAACGGTTATGACCAGGGATGGCATCTGAGAAATCTCACCAAACAGGTTCACCAGGAATGTCAGGTCAGTTTTAGAAAAATTAGTCTGAAGTAGGTCCTTGTTACTCCACACTTCATTATTCACATATATACTAAACCCTCTCTAATCTGGTTACAGTTAATTTGGATGTAAGATAATCCAGATCAAAAATGAAAAATTAAACATTTTGGTTGCACATGAGTACATTAAAAGACACATAGAATTTAGAAGCAAGAGGACTCTCAGGCTGTTGGAGGCAGCTGGAGAGACTGAAACTGTGTAAGAAAATATATTTTTCATCAGCATTACCTATATTATTAAGTTTTTCTTTTGTTTGTTTTCTAAGTTTTTAGGGCTATCTTTTGCTTCATTAATCCTGATTATCACTTAATCCAGATAACATTTTCCCCTGCTTAATCCAGATTCAAGGGTTTCCTGTACTGCTACTTTAAGTGTGTCCTCTTTCAGAATTATGTATCTTTTATAACCTGCAAATTCCTATGAAAAGTTTTCATTACAGTATAAGACTGTATTCCAGCATTCCTTGCTGAAGTTTGCAGATACAGAAGGTAAAGACCATTGTTTGCTATGAATAAGATGTATGTTTCTGGTATCTCTAATATAGGCATCATTTTGTTCAAATGACTAACTTTAATAAGAACACATATTACCTGCTCACTCATAGATGGTTAGAGATCCTGCTGAGCTATTGGAGAGAGTAAGTCCGAAAAATACCACATTGTACTGACCATTTATTAAGAAGTGAATAGTGCTACTATAATGATGACCGAAAGAAAAAATGTACATTCAATGACACATTAAAAACTTTTGAATGAATGAGTTAAATGTGATACCGTGTCACCCACATCAGCAGAGGAACAGTGTTTTCTGATGGATCCATGCAGAGGCTATATATACAGAGTGCGGCAGCATAATTTGCTGATTTGAATTTGGTGCCAGGAAGCGAGGTTAGGCCGTTAGAGGGTGCGGATGGTCTCATTCGAACGGGTGGGTCGGGAAGTTTGTTCTTCCTTCCACTTTAGTACCGAGAATGCGTTGGACGAAGGAACAGTGCGCGTTTGCCATAGAGGCTCACTTTTCTAACGGTCGCTCGATCATCGCCACGCAGCGAGCATTCCGCGCGCACTTCAGTATTTCCGCCTGAGCTCGTGTTCCTGGTCAGCAGTCGATTGTTACATGGGCAAACACATTCAGGAGAACTTGCAGTGTGGAAAAGAGAAGATCAGGGAACGGCCCGTCAGATCACCCCAAAACATCGAGGTGGTAAGGCAGTCTTTTTTGCGATCTCCTTGGCGCTCGGCACGCAAGCATGCAGCTGCCCTTGGAACGTCTGATCGTTCTGTGAGGCGAATTCTTCATGATGACTTCCACTTTCATTCTTACAAGTTGGCTGTGGTGCAAGAACTCACTGAACGCGATTTTTCTGCTCGGCAACATGCATGGGAAGCGTTCCTTGAAACTTTGCCTGATGTTGTGCTTGTGTTCTTTAGTGACGAGGCTCATTTCCATCTTTCTGGATGTGTGAACAAGCAAAACATGCGCTACTGGAGTGATAACAATCCCCGAGAACTTCATAAGAGGCCCCTTCATTGTGAACGTGTAACTGTTTGGTGTGCACTGTCGAGAGTAGGGATTATTGGTCCCTACTTTTTTTAAGAGAATGAGGTTGCAGTTACAGTGAATTCTGTTCGCTATGCGAAAATGATCAAAGAATTTTTTTTTGCCAATTCTTGACAAAATGGATGTTGGGGATGTGTGGTTTCAGCAGGATGGAGCCACGGCACACATGGCACGAACTGCAATGCGTGTTTTGCGGGAGCACTTCCCCGGGCGCCAGATTTCTTTGAGGGGTGATCTTCAGTGGCCGGTACGCTCACCTGATATAGCCCCTTGTGACTATTTGTTATGGGAGTATCTGAAATCCCTCGTGCACACCGATCGTCCAAGGACCCTTGCTCAACTGAAGGAGAATATTCGCCAAGCCATAGCCAACATACCCATCGCTATGCTGGAAAGAGTCGACCGACACTTCGGAATTCAGGCAAATCAGTGTATCGCCAATGGGGGGCGCCACTTGTTGGATAGAATTTTTAAAACAGAGTAAACGTAAATTTCCAATGTTGTAGAATATGGAGAAAAAATAAGTACAACGGTACCTATAACATCTTTTGTTTTATTGATCCTTCAAATAAGCAAATTATGCTGCCACACCCTGTATATATATATATATGGACAATCAAAACAGAAGCCAGTCAGTCAAGTCTAGGGAAGTGTGGAGAGAGTCTGCAGGCAGACAAACCAGTCCATGTCTGAGGCTTTAGTGAGACATCATCCTGGTGGAGGCATGGGAGGCGGAGTAGTCCCCATTTTTTTGAGGCACTGAATAGTAACACTGAGCTAGTCATGAGGCGGTCACCAGCAAGAAAGGATGTGAACACAGAAGCTGAGGAAGCTGTCACTGGAAGCTGTAACCAGACATCTGGTCAAGACACAGCAGACTGAAAAAAAATGAGTGCATGCTATAATGAATTGCAGAATGCATAACTTAGCAATTGCACTATAGTTATTAGTAGTTATGATCATTAAGAGTTCAGTAAATCTGATTACCAGTCCAAGCCCCATCTACAGTCAAGTCGTACACATGACAATATTATATCCAGGATAGTTCAAATATGATGTTTGTTCGAAGCTGTACTTGTCTGTTAGGCTACTGTGAGTATTCTTGTTCTGGTTGAATGCTTTCCTTTGAATGCCAGTGTGGTGGTTTGCTGTTTGGAATTTGTCATTAAATAGGTTAAGATGTAACAAATATATCTTAACACTCTCACTTATTGTTACAGGTCCAAGCCTCATGGTTGGCAATGTGATGCAGTAGAATCTCTGTGTGGGAATGGGCACTCAATACTGTTGGAATTAGAACCCCCATCAGTGTTAGTTCCAAGAGAAATGTATGTTTGAAGTAGCTCAGTTGAACGTTTGTAATCCGTCAGAGTTTGGTCCAGTGATACTTCATTCATGTGGAGGATAGCTTGAGAGCAGCACTGAAGCCAGGAATGCTTCGAAGATAAACATATTTTTTTTATGTAGCAGCTTCTTAGTGATGGATTAGTTACGCAGGTTTTAGGTGTCAGTGAAACATTAACTGATGAGAAAATATGAGTAATATATTTGAAACACTGAAACAAGGTACAGAACAGTTCTCACTGCAAAGATTGCTAACTATATGCAGAATTTCATTCATATTATTAAAATGCTTGGGCCTTCATTTCTGGTAAGAAACATTTTAGCTTTTGGGGGTTCATGAAGTTTGAGTGTGGAATAAAATGTGATAACTTGCCTGAAAACTGATCTGTTTAAACCACAGAGGACTTTCTTTCCTTAGAAGGGTCACTGAATCCCCGGACAGCACGTATGTTTATGCACTTTTTCAAAGTGCAAATTGGAACTATGGAAATTTTTTCTCGAGGAAGAAGTGAATATTCTAAAAGTTGTGATTCCCAACGTTCAATTTTGAGAAAGCTGTAATATTCTGTCTTGTGGCCTGCATTTGCCAGAGATTCAGTTTAGATTCCATAATTTGACTGTTTTCAGTTTAAGGTTGTGAGTTCATAGTTTTGTATTAATTTCTATATAATTATAATAGGTACTACTTGCAAAATTGTTTTCTTTGGAAAGTGTCAAAATTTTGTGACTAGATTTACTTTCCTGACCATCAGATAACATGACATTTCACACAATCTGTGTTGATCTGGTTTAAATTCACTAGAAAATGTATTAGTAACATAGGATGAAGTGCCACTCTGTCTTCCTAAGATAGGTAAGAGTGATCAGATGTTACTTCATGGACCTTTGTCTTTGTTTCACTGAGCTTATAGGAAATGCTTACTAATCTCTTGTTAAGCATGAAGACAGAATTTACAAATTCAGTACTTCATGTAAGAATTTGTATACATGCTACAATCACGTGATGCAAAGAAATTATTTTCTGTACATAACATATATACCATATATATATATATAATGTAATTTATTTTTACAGCCTGCTTTGATTTAGGGTGTGTAGGAAGTTCATTTTGTAATTTTAATGTAACTTTTTTTTGTTATAAGAAGGAATATATAAAGTAGTTCAGATACAAACCAGTAGAAGCAGTAAATGTATGTTGCTTAGCCTTTCTATCTTACTCGATAGCTCTGTTGCCATGATATCTGTTTGGCAACAACAGTAACATCTTGTGTCAAAATTAACCCACTGGCTGAAACATACTGAATTATTGGTTTTGATTCTTGCTTCTGATAGAAAGAAATAATAAAGGATGCCTTTGTAAACTTAATTCCTATAAAATGAATGAATAATGAGCTTAAAATTGTGTGAGGCCAAAGCAAATTATATTTTTATTTATGATTTTCTGGTGAAGAGACAAATTAATTTTAGCTTCTTTAAAATGAATAATTACATCTTCAGTTGTCCTTTATCATTACTTACTTACTTACTTACTTACTTACTCATGGAGCTGAGCCCTTCTTGAGGAGCTGTCAATTCTGCAGCTGCTCGAGAATTTCCAAGCATTTTATGGAACCTAAAGGTTCATTACCATGTTCACAAGAGCCCTCCGCTGGTCCCTATCCTGAGCCAGATCTATCCAGTCCATACCATCCCATCCTATCTCTCTAAGATCTTCTGGCTTTCCCACCAATATCCTATACGCATTCCTTGTCTCCCACATTCGTGCTACATGACCTGCCCACCTCATCCTCCTTGACTTGGATCATTCTAATTATACTTGGAGAAGAGTACAAGTTATGAAGCTCCTCATTATGCAGTTTTCTCCAACCTCTTATAACTTCATCTCTCTTCGGTCCAAATATTCTCTTCAACACCCTGTTCTCAAACACCCTCAGTCTATGTTCCTCCCTTAGTGTCAGAGACCAAGTTTCACACCCATACAGAACCACGGGCAAAATTATAGTTCTGTCCTTTATCATTACCTTTTATAATCTACATAGATTGTTGTGGTCTGTCACGAATCCAATTTACTTCATATCAAATTAACAGTGCAGCACAGGACATGGACTGGGAAAGAGTTATAGATGCAATGATATTCAGTCTGGTTTCTTAGGTTGCAGATGACTGCACTGGAATATGTGCAGTACTGTCTTTGTAGCATTCATTTATGTCATCATCATCATCATCATCATCATACTGTCAAAGAATTTTTTGAGTTGTTGACCCATTTTGACATCAGTTGTTTCTTCCAGTTGCCCTTGATTCTTGTTCTGGTCATTTTGTATTTCATAGCTAATTTATGATGTGTGTCTTTCTAGATTGTTTCAATTGGCAGAAACATTCATTTCTGTAGATCACCTGCTTTGTTACTACTGGTTTCATCTTTAGTTCATATAGAAGTGTGTAGTCCTTTTTTTTTTACTTCTGTTTATAACCAGTTTTCTTTGAATAAATAAATGCTCTCAGATTTCAAATAAGTGATTAAGTTGCATGAAACTGGACATTAGGAACAATGTAGATTGTATGTGAGTTTTTCTAAGATGGTATTAATTGTACCAGATTAAAAACGATTCTAAATGTAACAGTAGTTCCCAGACTGAAACAGAAAATCCTATGGATCTGTGAGGGGTGTATTCACCATTGCTTCAGTGATGATTTCTGTATGAATTCCACCCATCATCATCAGTAAACTACAACCATTGTTGTTTTCAGGAGTATAGAGGCAAGAATTTTGACTGGTTTATGGCTGTGGATAGTTTTTAACAAAAGAAGGGTGCTAACTTGAGAAGAAAGTTGGTGACTTGCTTTATAGCATGTAAGGAACAGGCATTCCTCTTCATTGGTGTGAAATCTTGTTTTATTATGATTGTCTCAAAATGGGATGCCATTTAGAGATTATATAAATGTGATACATGTTTCATATTATTCTACACTCATGATTCATTAGGTTTTCTTTGATTCATTTTTCGGACCATTTGGTTTAAGAGTCCTCAGAGTCTAAATGTTCAATTCATTAGAAACAGAATGCATATGAGGAACTGCAGTTTTGAAATATTTTGATCAAAACAAGTTTTTGCTGACCATGGGAATCAGACTTTGTAGCGTTTCTAGCATTTAAAGAATGTATGATGAGGAAGTCACAGATATCCCTTTCAGTAGTCTCAAGTTTTCTGCTTTAAAATACTGTATTCCTTCTCTTCTATGACCAATCTATATATATAGCTTTTGTCTGTGTCTGAGGATCCGATATTTTTTGATTCCAAATAAGTATGAAAAGCACTGCTTGACATCACTGAAGCTATGAGATTTGACCCTGTGTGTTCTAATTATGAAGCCAACCTGCTGCCACACAGAAAGGGCAATCAGCAACCCTTTGACTCTGATTTATTGGCTTCTTGTAGGGATGGCCTTGGCCTTGCAGCTATTCAGATGCCCTTTAAAAGGAAACTTCTAAGACTAATGTTACCCAAATATATTCCAGGTGGAGTGAAACTTCAGGTAATAGTTTGATAAAAAGACCAGATATGTATAGGCCCAGCAGTACACATGAACATTGTTTTTTCTCATTTCTTCTCCCTGTCCATTCAAGAGTGCACTCAAAAGCTTAAAATGTGCTGTCTTTATCACTATCATTGAAACGTCTCCTCAAGGTGATTCTTGTTTCATTGTGTCCTAGTTACATTTGCCAGATGACAAAATGTCATTTCTTTAATTGTATTTTTCTGATAGTGTTCATGAAATATTCTGGACTCATAGTATAACATGTACTTACCATGTATTGGAAGGATTTGTTATTGCCCCAAGGTGTGTAGGTTCACATACTTAACCAATACAAATGAATTCCTTGTAATGAAGCAATAATTTTCCTCATAAAGAACATTAATTTTGGATTTATGTGTAGAATATTGAGGATCAGATTGGCCCATCACTGCCTCTATTCAGACATTGGAAATGGAAACAGTGAAGAGCATGCCATTATGTAACAGCATATTTTCACATGTATCTTCCAACATTGATATGTATTGTACAGTATATGTAGATTGTGTAATTAGTCTCAGAAGTTTACACTGAAGTGCATCACAGCTGATGATGAATATTCTGTATATATTTATTTGCCATAGCAGGTTATAAAAGACTTCCCTTTATTTGTTGAATTACTGTATTTTCAGTCTGTTTATGTGTTTATGAAAGTTATTTTCAATTAAACTATAATTTTTTATTTTGTGATTTTGGTGTTTTTGTTTTACCATCCATATGTAGAAGTATACCTTTTATGGATAATTTTTTCAATCATGCACAAATTTTTAAACATAAATTATAGAATAGCAATAAGAATTTGTTCTGGGATAAATTGAGATAGACCAATAAATAAGACACTCTTAGATGTAGTCCTTGTTTCAAGACCAAAGATTTAATATCAGAAACATGGCTTTGCAGACATCTTGTCTGTATTCCAACTAGTGCTGCACATTTCTCATTGAAAAATAATTTTGCTTCTTCAACCTTGTAGTTTTCAAAGCTATTTACCCAATGTATTTTGCAAAATAGCTAACCAGTCAAATTCAAGGCAGTCCATAGTTTATTAGGATAGCTGCAAATTGCTATACAGCAGACTCTTCATTATCTATGTGCTTTACCCCAAGGGAAAGAGTCCCTGGTACCCACTATTACTCGTACATGATATATATGAGTATTAGTGGTTATAATGACTTGCAGTAGATTGTACATCATCTCACCCTGGTGCAACTTTCTTTTTATTATTTTATTCCTCTTCCCACTAGCCTACTATCACTGAACAAGGGTCACTTTTTGCTAGTGAATAATTACTTGTCTCACTGTTAGTGACCAGTAGTATGACCAGTAAATAATTATTGATTTTCGGTGTTGAATGCAGCAGACTTTTGGATTATCTGGTATTTCTAATTATCTGAGCATACTTCTGCCTTCCTTGCCATGGATAATCAAGAGTTCACTGTAGCATCTAAAGGTGGTACCTTTATGTTTGCTGCTGTTCTTCACACCTCACATGTATGTGCAGCTGCTTTGCATGATAAGTAAGAAGCTTAGTAATAAAAAAAAAAATGAAAAATAAGTTACTGTGCTTCATTGTAATATCCTTATTTGTTATGGGGTGAGTTATTATATCTTTCACAATGAATATATTTTGAAACAAAGTCTGCATGCTAAATACTTAAATTATTGTTTTTATTTTAGTTCCTGAACATCTAACATGATCTTTTATATTAAAAATGACTTTTTGGTATCCTTTCAGTTTATACTGTAGAATCTGTTATTGTATTCTTTCATTAGACATTCCGTCGGAATGGTTTTCTCAATTGTATCTGTGTTCATCTATCTTTATTTTGTATGGATAGCATTTCTATTGCTTTCCTAATATCTTTATCCTTAATATGGCCTAGCTAGTAATCTGTAAGTCCTCTTAATTATCTCACCCCTAGTGATTGTATTCTTTGTATGTCTCTTGCCTTTACTGTCTCAGATTCATTTCCATATAGCAAAGTTAGTAATGCTACAGATTTGTATAATTTGTTCTGTATTTCTTTCCTGGTTTTAGTCTTTAAGGTTCATAATGTACTGCATATTTTATCATTATTATTTAGTTTATTCTGTGAGTCTGTCTAACATATATGTTAGGGCATTCCAAGATAAATCACTGATAATTATTTTAATTCTAAATGGAAACTTACTCTTGAATAACGTACCTTTGATCTTCTTAGTTGAAATTATCAGGTTATGCATTTTACCAGCACTTTGTAAATTATGAATTGAACACTGTGACTTATCCTAACTATCTCATACTATAATTTGGTAATGGAAATGGAATTGGAATTTGGAATTGGAAATGGAAATGGTAATGCATTTAAGCGCTGCCCTTGTCTTATTGAATTCCTGGGTCAAATCTATCTTTCTATTCTCTCAAGAGGTCATGAAGATAAATGTTAAACAGGCTGAGAAAAGACTACATCCTTGTATTACGACTTGATTTATGATAATTATTTCCTTTCTGCATCCTTTATTTAAGGACAGTATCATCTTTGTTTTTTTGATAAAGGATTTCTGTTTTTTGTATCAGATGTGTTGGATAACATCCATTTTCCAAAATATTCTGTAATTTAATCTTGTCCACATGGTCGAAAGCTTTTTTATAGTTTACACAAACTACATGTATTTCTAAGTTTTATTTTCTCATTCTCTGAGTAGTTTATTTTATTGTAAATATATTATCCATTCAATATCAGTTTGAATGAAGTCCATTTGGTTCTAAGATTTTTTAGCCATAAATACTCTGAATCATTTTGCTTAATATACCCATACAAAGTTTATACCCAAAGTTCACCATGCTTATACATCTATAGTCATCACAGTGATTTCTCCCTCTCTTTTTAAAAGCAAGTAATTGTAATTGTAACTGTAATTATAGTATGAATAATTTGTATATAGGAATCTTCCTTGACAGTAGAAGTTTTCAAAGCAATTTGTATTCATTGTAGAGTTTTCTGGGTATCACGATGTTTCAGAGTCTGAAACATTACAGACAATTTGAAAGATCTTTCGAATTCATGTGAAACATTTGTAATGTTTACCTTTCTGACACAGTGTGATACTCACAAATCTTTGTAATGAACCTTGTTATATATATTAACTGGCTGGACATTTTACAGATTGAGGTGTGTAATGTTATATGAAGTTCATGTATGAAACTATATTAATATCACTTAATATTTCACTTCTCAGCTTCATGAGCAATTCTTTTGTTAAATGATGGCAGCTGTTTTGGAATTATCTGTAGTTTCCATAAGTAAATATGGGAAAATATTAAGAAAATAAGACATGCCTTAAAATCAGTAGATGTAAGTAATATAGTATATGAATGAGAGGTGTCCTTTTATGGAGAATAAATTATATCATATAATTTGAAAAGTGATGGAAATGATTGTCATTATCATATTTAATTGTTATATTACATTGCTCTGTATATTTATTTGTGAGACTGATGCAAGAGATATTGTAAATATTTGTGCTTAGCCTAGACAGCAAGAAGTGAAAAAAATTCATAACTTATTAGTTGCCAAGATGTTTGCTACACATGTTTAGTAACCAATGTCAAGAGAAATACAGCTGATAAGAAATTAAGACTTTTAGTTTTGCTCGTAAAAGGTGATGCCAGTTATTAAAAACATAAAATGTTTGTGATCCAGTACACATTACAGTAGTGAGTTTGTAAATTATTATAATTTTTCCATGACATACCTAGTTATAAATGCAGATTTCAGCCAGCTGCCACATATTAAAACAAGTATTTTTTTTAACAAATGTAGTTTTATTCTACATGACCACCTCTGTGGTCTAGTTGTCAGCATTCCTGGCTACACCAGTGGTCCAGGTTCTATTCCCGGAGCTACCAGATTCTTTTCTAAGAAGTAGTGTATCTGGAACGGGGTGCACTCAGCCTCGTGATGATAATTGAAGAGCTATTTGAAGGAAATAGCAGCTCTGGTATAGAGAACCGAAATTAACGGCCATGGGGATTCGTTTCGCTGACCACGCGACACCCTCTGTCTACAAAAGTTGGGACAAAACTTCGCCGACAAGTGGCGGTCACTTGGTCGGTATAGTTCGCTTGCAGACTAAAATCACGGAGTTTGTGATTATTTTTTAATCTGTGAAGTAACAAGTAATGACAGAGATCTTGAATTATGAATGCTGTTGCTGTCATACAGAATGATGGGCAGTATTTCACACGGACAACATGACAGTCCAGTCTGCACAATATTTAAGAACCACAAAAGATGTGTTATTATTAGGTACTTATTAACACTTCAGGGGACTCAGTCCAACATTTAGGAAATCACATTCCATTTCATTGTGTGAAATATGCTGAAAATTTTAGAATTTAAAGAAATAAATTAAAATTGGACTAAAGTAAATACATCTGAAGTCCCTATTGAATTCAAATATTTGGAAAATCATGTTCCAGTCCAATGTTGGGCCGAGTCTGACTGTTTAAAAGTTAAAAAGAAATAAATTGATCTCCAAAATGTTTTCATTTTCTATTTTTATTTTTTGGATTTCATAAATGAGACTGTGTTTCCAAAAATGTAAGAATCATATATTTGAATACAGTGAGAGTAATATTCAGTTGCATGACTTTTCTTTGATCTGTTATGGTTGTTACATTTGTATTTCAGTTATGTAGGTATTGAGTGAGGGCTTTGGTACCAAATACCAAATTTCAACATTATTATAAAATTCAGAAAAAATTATCACGTGTTTTTCATGCTTTCTTCTTATTGAATCATTAGTATGCTTACAAGAAAAAGTAAACTTGGATTGTGTTGTGCATGAAGGTTAGTAGGTTGAGAATGGAATGGAGTGTGCCATAGATAACAAAGCATGTAGTTGTGGAGATAGGTATGTGTGCACACGGATTCATACATGATTCCACGCATACTTGGTGTATGAAGTTATGGTGCATTTTTTTATTAACTGTTTTGCAGTGAGTGGGGTAGGAACATGAATGAAACATGATGCAGAAGAGAGAAAGAATAAAAGATGGTGTTATTCATGTTGTTGGTGAAGTACTCTGTTACGTTATGTCTGATCACATGTTGATTGGTATAACCAGTTCTTGCCACAGCTGAATGACAATATCTGGAGACAGTGATTCAGCTGATTCTGATTCTTTGCTTCTGTGTGCAATCTGTCATCCTGGGAAATGCTCATCTACACCTTCATGATCAACCTTTGCATTGGGAAGTGCACTTTGTTCATATTCTTTTATTGTCTTCAATTTTTGGTAACAAGTGAAGTTGCATCATATCCAGAAATTGTTCACGGAAGTTAAAATCAGTGGTTTTTAATCCTTTTGGTGGGTTGTAGGCCTTTTGGGGAGTATAATGAAAGCTGTGGACCCCTTACTAGAAAAATGCATATATATATACACAAAATTTTCCATACAATTTATTTTATTGCTTTGAAAATTGATTTCCTTCACACAGACAGAGTATAAAACAATCTTTACAAAGAACTGTGTCTCTTTCCATCTTGCTTTCTCCTGCTAACATCAATGGCCACTTCCTTAGGAAATTAATTGAAATAAAATCTTTCTCTGGCACCAGAAGGCCAAGTTGTACACCCCTGTTGCTGAAAGGAAGTGTGCTGTTAGCTCTGGAAGGTTTTTATGAGGGACCTATGAGGGTAAAACTGAATGAAGTCCCTTGATGTGGATGAATAGCTTGTCCATCAAAAAGAAATGTTTGACTGACGAAAGGGGCTGGTCAAGAGGATTTCTTTTGAAGGAAACTGAGAATTTAGTTGTAGGTCAAGATGGGGTATGTGGGGTAAGTAACTGATTTTACACACATTTCGGAGTGTTTGCGGTCCACGTTTCCAGATCAAATTATTTTCGCATTTTCCGCCGATTTCAATGAATGTAGATTTATGAAGTGTTGTCAAATGAAGTACTACTATTTTTAGTGTTATCCGTCTTTATGTATAGTTTAATTTTATTGCTGCTTTTCAAGAAAAATAATTATTATTATTATACATGCTAGTGCAGTTCATATAAGTTTTACAGTATAATTCGAAGTAGTATTTATTTAACAGGTATTTTGGAAAAAACAGTTTTACGTCACTTTCCTTTGTTGTTGTGCAGGGAAGTTGCATGGTTGCGTCTTCTGTCATGTATGAAGTATATGAACGTTATGGATATATGTGCTTGTTCCCTTGGCGTTTTTAATGTATGAACATACGAATGTGAAACACTAAAAATAGTGTGAGTGCAGATGGATTACCGGGGAATGGGTCATTATGACCCGTCCGTGACTGCTTCATCAGATGAAATGCTGAGTACGTAGTAGAAATGTTCATTTGATGCGTCGCCATTATAGTACACAGTTTTATGTAAATTAAAAAACATATTTTGCTAGTTCTGTGTCTTTATCTACCAGATGGAAAATAACATGTTTGCACGAGCAAGGAACAGAACACACGTGCCGCTGTACTAACTTAATGAAGCATGCTTTAATAGATTTCTTGAGCTGACTTCGTCAAGGGTTAGTTTAGGTTAGAAATCTTCCGGGTACATTTATTTAGTGCTACCAAAATCTGAACGATGCTGTCTGTGTTAGCTGAAAGTTAGACTTATGTATTAGGGATAGTAAAAAAGATAAAGCTAACCCTGTAACAGGACGTGGAGGCCCGTAGGGTTGTGAGACGTCGAGGCTTCCATATTTTGTAGACAATCGGCTCACAGATGGCGGTTAGGTTGGCAGCCTCACGCTCCGGCCTCCCTTTACCCCAGGAACATTCCTGGTACTTATATGTGTTAAAGGTTGAGCCGACCCCAGGGCCATAGTGTGGCTGGAAGTATTAAGTCAATTCTAAAGAAACTTCAGTAAATTCTGTAATAAGTGACAGGGCAAGGGATTGTATAGGCAAGAATAGGTCATATTCAACAGTAAGGTATATGTGGTCACCATATTGTAAAGTTTCTTCACTGCATGAAACAGACAATGGTAAAAAGAATTGGCAATGGGTGAAATTGTTAACATGCTGTTCATTCAGCAGATTTTGGATTGTGAGATACTGTACGTGAATTTAAAATGTATGTGTTTGAAACGTACATAATCACCCATCCCAAAGTATTCATACCATCTGTGGTTTCGTTTATACCATAATCCAGTGACTGGTATGCCCATAATACCAAATTTTCAAACAGCACTGTAAACTGAATGTTAGCCCAAGCTTTAGAAAGGCAGCAAGACTATGGAATATTCATTGATTATATAATGAGCTGGAAATACCACATCGAATGTATTAGTTAAAAACTAAGTGCAGTCTGCTACATAATAAGATCGCTTAAACCATACACGTCCCTAAATACCTTAAAAATGATTTATCACTCTTATTTTAATTCTATTGTAAATTGTGGTTTCCCTTTTGGAGTAACTTACCCCAAAGTATACAAATTTTTAGAATGCAAAAGAATATAATTAGAATTATGTTGGGACACAGAAGGAGGGATTCGTGCAGTAACTTATTTAGATAATTAGAAATCTTACCCCTGGCATCTCAGTACATACTATCTCTTATGCTCTTTGTGATAAAAAACAAACAAATTCATAGTAAATTCAGAGATTCATAGAATAAATAATCTCCATCAACCTCTTGTAAATTTGAGTTGGGGCACGTGCTAGCATAGTGGTTAAGGCACTATGCTACAAGTCGGAAGGTCGTGGGTTCAAATACTGATGAGGTCATTGGATTTTTTTCAATTGAACTAATCCTTCTGGACGCACTATGGCCCTGGATTTTTTTCAATTGAACTAATCCTTCTGGACGCACTATGGCCCTGGCGTTCACTCAGCGTCTAACAGAAATGAGTACCAGGAATTAAATAAATAATTTTCCTGGGGAGTAAAGCACAGCCAGCGCATAAGGCTGACAACCTTATGTGGGACCCGCAACGTCTCACAACCCTATGGCCCTTCATGGGATAATTTTACTTTTTTACTTACCAAAAGGGAGTTTATTGTTTAGGAACAAGGGTCTATAATAATCTGCCACAACATATTAAGGATATATCAAGTGACACAGTGAGTTTTGAGATACAATTAAAACAATTTTTTATTTACATTCTTTTTATTCATTACAGGAATATTCCAGTTATAAATCTTTTTAAGATGTGAGTAACTGTCTTACTTTACAATTTAAAGAAGACAAGATTGTCAGCCTGTGTTCTAGTTTTTAGTTATTTATTTTAGATATACACAATTTTTATATCATTGTATACTAGTCTTTACTTAAATTTATTATGCTATTACTGTATGTTATACAAAACTCATTAATGACATTGTGTTTTAACTATTGAATTTTTAATTAATAGACTTTTATAAAACTATACAAGTTGTATAAGGTTTGCCATTACTTTTACTACTAAAATTAACTTATTTATTATATTGTATATGTTTATCAGTATTTTATTACAAATGTGTATGCTATTGGATGACAACTGTAATTCTTAGTTGTGACTGTAACTAGGACGATCTCCACATTCACATGAGAATGCCACATCATTTGATGTGAACTATTACTGTCGATATAATGTCATTAAATAACTCATGAACCGGTGTATGCTCTAGCATAATTGGTTGAAGCAGTATGCCACAAGCCAGAAGGTCATGGGTTCAAGTCCCAATGAGGTCAGTGGATTTTTTTTTCAATTTACCTACTCCTTCCAGCCGCACTATGGCCCTGGGGTTGACTCAGCATCTAACAGAAATGAGTATCAGGAATTTTCCTGGTGGGCAAAGGGCTGTCAGCACGTAGGGCTGACAAACTACCACCATCTGTGAGCTGATTGTCTAGAAAATGTGGGAACCTCAAGTTCTCACAACCCTATGGGCCTCCACGGCCTGTTACAGGGATACCTTTACTTTTTACTTACCACTTAATTAGGTGGGAGACTGAGTATGTTCCAGGCCTGTTTAGTGTGTGGTTTTAAAGAGAATAAACCCTGTTCCCATGGGGATTTAAAATAGCCTGTAGTTGGTTCAGTTGCCTACTGAGCTGTCTAGGTTTATATTGAGTCATAGAATGTAGCTTCTTAACACATTTGAATTATGAAACCAGCAAAATTTTACTTGAATGAAGCAAAATTTTAACTTCAGTAAATAATGAAACACTGAGGTGAATGAACACACCCTCCTATGCATTTTTACACCGTTTATGAAGTAGGCGCGTTTCACAACATAACATGTACGTATGTGCTTGCAGATTTGAATGGGTTACTGTAATTTTTTGCTCCATGCAGTGTATGCTGATGGGAGTGCACATTATCCAGTGGAAGGAGATACATATGAATTACCAAGTGAAGGGTTCGATCCTGCCAGTGAACATTTTGCTGAGGGTTACACGGATGCAGAGTTTCAAGAAACACACACCATCCTTGCAGATGGCGGGGAACGTTTTGGAGTGTCAGCAGTTGCATTTGATCAGCAAGAGGAATTACTGTGGATGGGTAATCAAGGTGTAAGTATTGTAAAAAATATTCACTACTGCTGCTACCATCACCACCACCACAACAATGACAACAACAACTACTACTACTACAACCACCTACCAAGCAGGTGTTGTGCCCAGGATTTTGGAAACTTGATTTTGATGTTTAAATTATAATATTAAGGCTTAGTGGATATGAATTGATGGGTGAGCTAGAATGATGAAACGAACTACGGAAATCAAGTTGCTCATGTATCCTGTTATTCATGATTATTCATTTCCGTTAGTCAGCCACTTCCCATCATGTGGGACAAAGTATGAGGCAGTCAGGAAAGACCAAATATAGGCAAGTTTTAAGAACCATAGGGAATGTAGCCAATGGGAATCACCGATTCCCAATGCGTCCATGAGGACGGAAGCACGCCCATGGATCCAGATGGTATAAGAACCCTGGGACCAGGGGCGGGGAGCGCTTAGACTGGACGAGTATTGCCAGACGCCAGAGGGTACGTTTTCGAGCCCGTGGGGCCCGACGTCGCGAAGTCGCGAGGGACATCTCTGACCCAGGAACAGAGAGAGAGATGGGAGCCTAGTATCGCCCAAGGAAGGGGGACGTGAGTACTTGCCGATGGTTGGTCACCCGAACTAACTGACAGGCCACCCGGTAGAGGTGACAGGTCACAATTGAAGTACTAATTTGTATTAGATTAGGTTAGGCTCATGGAGCATTAGGCACAAGAGAGAAGCGGGTAAGAACGAGACGGCCGGAGCTTGCTGCTACTCCGGATCGTTCAACACGTTCCGTTATATAGGAACATCAATTAGATAGGTTAAGTACCATACTTATTTGCTTGTGAGTAATATTTGCTTGTGACAGGAGGAGTAGGAAGAAGGATAGAACACGCTACAGCCGCAAGGCACCTTTGTATTTGCTTTTAAGCATAATTAACCCTTTTCTAATATACACATTTTTGCCTTAGTAATGCATTATTGTAAAATGGTATGAGTGTGACCCCTGCACTCCCTTTTCCCTTGTGAGCCCGGGGTTGGAGAGAGCGACCTACTGGTGCCCCGAGGGGGAGAATAGGCCACGACCCCCTGCGGCACAACACAGGTTAACTCAGTGACCTATGTCTAACATGAAATAGTGATGCTCCATGGTCACTGTGATTTCTACATACTCATACGCTGCTTAATCTGTTTCTGTTGTTATAATGCAATTATTTCACATGTCTCTATTTTGAAAAATGTAGTATTTAGCTCACTCTTTCTTCACATTTCAAAATTAGGGATTTTATCCGACTTTAAAGCTTCGGTGATATGAGTTTCTTTATTTACTCTTTTGACTTATATCACAGGCTTTAATTACTTTCAGCTCCACAAATTTGACTTTGGCNATGGGCGTTATAACATACGTGTGCAGCTGGACGAAACATACACGTCGAACCCCCCCAGACGATTTAAATCCCTGACGAAACATACACGACGAACCACGGCAACGGGTTAAGGATGTCACTTGGAAGAGAATGATGCAATCCTGGCTGTCCTTTGCATATCCAGTCACTTTGCCATTATGATCCTGTTCAAATATTGTACATACATGCCTTTAGACATGACATGAAGGTTTGCAGGGACATGCGGTGGCATAGTTGAATGAGGCACTATGCATGCATGTATGTATGTATGTAAGTAAGGGGTTGGCCATAAAAACCGGCCCCTGCACTGGGACCTTTAGTGATCTATTGTGCTTCACCTTGGATTGGCCAGAGGGTCCTGCTATAAAACCCTTTGCCTGTTTGACTCCAGTTGTGGATTCCCAGTATTTTTTATGATTTCTATCAGTCCAGTCCCTGATCACTTCTTTGGCAACTCCAATTGAGATGTCACAAGCTGGTTCAGGTCCTATGAACAGCTGTTCAGATCCTGCTATGAGGAACTATGCTACAAGTCAGAAGGTCGTGGGTTCGATTCCCAATGAGGTCACTGGATTTTTTAATCTACCTAAACCTTCCAACCGCACTATGGCCATAGGGTTGATTCAGTCTCTAACAGTGTGACTACCAGGAATATTCCTGGTGGGTAAAGGGCGACTGGCATGTAAGGCTGACAACCTCACCTCCATTTATAAGCCAATTATCTAGAAAATGTGGGAGCCTCGACGTCTCACAACCCTATTGGCTGCCACGACCTGTAGTAGCAATAGCTTTACCTTTTTTTAATGAAGGTTTGCATGCACCCTGATATATTGTCATAAATTTGGAATACTTAAATATGCCTCAAGTTCTGGCATTTCAAGAGGCATCATGAAGGGTTTTCTTAATTGAGTGAACAAAATATGCCTTTATCCATTCTTTATTTATCAAACTATGTTTCAGAATGCATCAGATCTTTTTGTGCGTGAAGTGGTAGTCGATAGTCAAAACTGGATTTCCAATTGACTGGTATAATTTAAAGGAAAAAGTGCTTTCAGTAAAATGCTGAGTGGCGATACTTCACTACAGAGTGTACTGATGATTTATGTCTTGAGATATTCAGTTCTTGAATAATAACACTTTACACTGCCTTTTTCAGGGTCATGTCACATCATATTATGGCCCTGGTCTCCAGAAGTACACTTCTTTCCAAGTCCATGCAAATCAGGAGGTCCGTCATATTCACACATTTGAAGGGGGGATCTTAGCTTTAACACAGACTGCTCTTCGTTGTCAGATGCGAAGAGGAATACCAATATTTACATATAGGTAATATAATATATTTATAATTGTGAAATGTAATTTGTGCCCTTCAGCAGATATTATTAGTGTGATCAAATGAAGAAGGATGAGATTGGTAGGACATGTAACATACATGGGGAAGATGAGATTTGCATGGAAAATTTAAGGAACCAACATGAAAGGAAAGTAAGATGGGAGCTCTAGGCATATATGAGGGTGCAGGCTAATATTACAATTAACCTAAAACAATCAAGGCATTTGCTTTAGTTGCTTGTGAATTTTATTACAAGGGTTGTACAAATGAAACCTTTTTGTGGATTGTTCTGAATGAAAGTAAAGGCTGTCATAAATAGTTCCTGTGCGAACTGAGGCAGACATCCCATTGACGCACCAGCTAATGGATCATCTCCACAGAGAATTTCTTGGACCCCTGCAGGAACCATTACCACTGTGGCTTTGATAATATCTTTGTCTGACCTGAATCTATGGACCTTAGTGTTTTCTGGATAATTTCAAATAGGTTTCATTTAAACAACCCACATATATCACTGATTGTCCATGTAGAGACACTGGCTTTGATCAGGATGCCTATATGCACCATGACTTTTGGAGAACGGTATTGAATTCTTTTGTGGAGTAAGCTGTCCTTTTACTTGGTGGTTATACTCCTGGAAAAGGCAGGAAATGGAAGATGATTTGAAAGATCTGAGAAGTAGGGCATACATCCAGAGCTGCTGCCGATTGGAAGAACTTAATGGGGTACATACAAAGAAACGTGTTTGTGGTATTTGTTTAGAGACTATTAGTTTTGAACACTGTGAATGGGAAAAATGTAGGAAATCATTTTTCCTCCCATAAGAATCAAACTACTGAAGATGGCAGAAACACAAGCTATTCTTACACATCACAAACAATGTATCCTTGTGCAACAAGACTCTTTGACTTCAGAACAGGATCATTCTCACGGCACATCTTTACCAGAAGAAGGATGGCCAATGTTTGAATCTAACATCTTGCAGTGAAGGAAGAATCTAATTGAAATCAGTATTCATTTAGTAATTAAATTTATAATCTGTAAGTTTTGTAAGACCATTATAAAGTAAAGGCTGGAGTAAATCTGTCTGTGGCATAATATATGGGTGTATGTGCAACACATCTCCCCACAGTGACAGATTTAATAGTGGTATAGGGATGTTTGAAAGTTGTGATCATTTGAGAATTACTTTCCGTGAACTTGATCAGTTTTAATTTTTCATAAATTAAAAATGAAAACTGAATTCATCTCAGACAAACTGCGCAGCACAGGAACACAGCTGCAGTGAACGTGTCCAGACATGTGTGCAGCCCTTGCCATTGTTTCGTTCATTTGAGATGCAGCACTTAAAATCAGATCATTTTTATCACTTCACCGACAAGCGGCTGTTGCTCTGTTAGTATTGTTCGCTTGCGGACTAAAATCACGGAGTTGATATAATGATGTCCAAGAGTACAGAAGAATGCTTATGCTCTGCAAGAAGCTCAGAATAACGCTTGTGTTTTGCAAGAAGTTCAGATAGATGGTTATTGAAACTTATTACTTGAAGCATATGGCTTTGGAGATCAGCAATGAAGTGAATATGAGATTTGAGTGTTCTCATTGTTTTACAGGGGAACAAATGTCCACTGAAAATAATGTGTGTTGTGGATACTCTTCAAGAAATAGAAATGATGAGTAAGCTCAGGTATGTCATTTAGTGTGGAATGAAAGCAGATGACAGTTTGTGTAAAAGCTGAAGAAATAGGAGTTCTGAAATTACTTATGTCAAGCCATTTTAACCAAAGATTTGAGAATATCTCATTTGACATATCTCAGCTGGGTTTGTTCTGTGACTGATGACTGTCTAGCAGAAAGACATCTGTCATCTGAGATATCTGATTTTATTGAACATAAACAAAGTAGGAATATGCAAGAATGACTTTTCAGTTTGAGATGAGAATTTGGAAACATTTAGAGAGTTGAGACAGCAAGACTTTTCTCAAGCAAACCAGTTTCTTCACTGTAATAATTTACAACATTAACCACTTTTTCAGTGTACTGCCATGTTTACTTGAATGGAAGATGATCTCAAATGTAAGACAGCTCCATGCTAAGAAACATACCTGCACAGAAAAAGTAGTTTATGAATTTGTTTAATACACAGAGATATTGAGTTTTCGGAATTTATCCATCGTCCTGGTTTTAAGATAACTAAGAAAAAAACGTTTCAGAAACATATCCGGTCTGCTTTTACCGGTTCTCACGGTCTCTCCGCTTGCAGATTTCTTATATTTTTTCTTCTACCCTGAAGATGGAGGCGATACGTTCCTCCGAAACGTCGGTTAACACAACATATACACAGTGCCAAATCCCAGAAGATTGCTTTCTTCATAGTCACCGCCGTGAAAGCCTCAAATATTACATAGATAATATGTTATACATAAAATTTATTGAGGTAATTTTCTTCTTGAAGTCTTTTATTCACCTTTACCAGTCTCTGTTCACCATCCCTGTTGGCTCTTCACATTTCCCATCTTGTATCATCATCTTCCTCATCCTCCCTCCCATCCACTTCATGAAATATACAGCACTTTTTAAATTCTTTGACTGGCGCTTCTGGAGAGATCCATTATGATGGTCTTGACCCACTGGCACAGCAGTTCCACACTGTGTTTCTTTATTGTCACACTGTGCCAAGAGCCATTCATAATACAGTTGTTTTGAATGATCGTTTGAAAGGACTGTTTACTGGAACATGCAGCTGTGAGTCCATCTCTCGAGGTATCACCACAAGGTCATTTATTCACTGCATGGATCATGGATCTGATGTCCAGTGGTAAATTACCATCAGATATATCCAGCACAAGTATTCCTGTCTTCTCAGTAATGCTCTTGGTCTCACATTTGAGACAACCTTTAACCAATCCCCCACCACTTCATTTCAGCATTCATCTCTTAGTTTGATGCATGATTTATCATAACCAGTAATGAAACATAGGTATATATTTTTGACCCCGAAACTAAGCATTATTCATAATAATGTAAATTGTCTTCTTCATTGTGACTAATAAAAGAGTACCAAGCATGAAACAAATGTAATGTGATGCCTTTTTTTTATTTGGTTATGAGGATGTTTTGCATCATCAGTATGCTCCACAGGGTCATTTTGTTAACCATCATTTTGTTCTGAAGGAGATTTCTGCATGATACAGTTTCTCATAAACAACCACAAAGGTGGCAATCAGAGAGTTCCAGATTCAACATCCTTGCACTACCCTTTCACTCCAACTTGCTGGCACTTTTTTATTTGAAGGCAGTATTACTGAATATGTGAGATTGTCTATCTGCTTAACAAACATGGTTTCCAATAATTTTTGTTCCCTAAACATGAAAGGCAAGAAGATTTGATAGCATAGAAACATTTGAACACAATGAAATGGAGCAGCTGTTGGCTATTTAAAAAACATAGCACTCTCAGGAATGGTGGAAGAAGTGTGTCCATGTTAATGATTCCTGTTTTGAAGGGGATTAATTTTCTCTCCCTAAAATACAGTGTGTTCTTTTCTGCTGACTCATCGAGCAAGTTGGTTAAAGCAGTAATACTTCTGACTTGTATTTAGGAGGTGCCAGGTTTGAATCTCTGCACACCAACCATCCTTAACGGTGATTTTGCATGGTGTTCATCAGCCCCTCCAAGCAGATGCTGGGAGAGTACCTTATACAGAGCATGATCACTTTCTCCACATCCTCTGCAGTTGATTATCTACTGTCATACAGTTATTTGAGACCGTGTATTGTCAGTTACTGACAGCATTGATAGGTACATAGTTTACAAGTTTTTTTTTCCATAGATTTTGGTATTCCTACTCTTTGATTGGGCCTTGTTTAAGTGATTCCACTAGTAGTATGTGTGAACACTTCCTGAAAATGATTCATCACTATTGAAGGTACCATAACAGTCACTGCATAGCAGTGAAATTGTTAGTACCCATTTAGAATAAGTTGTGACCCAACTTATTCTCAGTCATTACAATATAGTAACTTGAAAGTGTAATCAGTAAAGAAACATGTATGAAGTCACTGGATTTTTCAGTTGACCTAATCCTTCCATCCGCACTATGGCCCTCTGGTTTACTCAGGCTCTAACAGAAATGAGTCCCAGGAATCGTCGTGGGGGGTGAAGGGTGGCTGGCGCCCTCACCACCATGTGTGAGCCAATTGTCTAGGAAATGTCTTGATGTCTCACAGCCCGATGGGCCTACGCACGGCCTGTTACAGGGATAGCTTTACTTTTCTTTTTAAAACAAACCAGCAGTTGCTAAGTGAATATTCTGTGATACATGAGTACCTCAAAGCATGGTATTACAGAACAGTGCTTGAAAGTTAAGGAGGGGTGTGTGGTGGATGATTGATTGGTTTACAGGTATTTAATAATACTGTATATGCCTCAGAGATTACAAATGCTGGGTGAGATGGGAAGGCGGTTAATGGTAGTGAATAGGAAAAATGTGAGAAGAAAGCTCTGGTGGTGTGTTCAAAAAGTATCGAACCTTTTTTCCCCCATGTAAACCAATGAAGCGCAGAAGGCTCCCTTCGGTGGAGATGTGGAGGGGCCATTCATGCGCAGTCGTGAATTTTTTCCCGCTCACAGAAAGCGTCAGTCGCTGGCAGTTGGCCTATGAGTGAGGACGTGCAGCGAGCACTCGTCGGATTCCAGTAAGGTGTAAAATGACAGAACAACATGAGCAGCGATATTGCATCAAATTTTGCCAAAAGCTTGGCAATACCCAAGTGGAAACCATTCGCAAGATTCAACAGGCTTTCGGGGACAATGCCATAAGCAACTCACGGATAAAGGAGTGGTACAACTGCTTCAAAGATGGCCGCACATCAGTGGACAGCAAACCGTGTTCAGGCAGACCCTCAACAAGCCAAAATGAGAATGTCATTGAGCAAGTGCAGACTTTGGTCATGGAGGACCATAGTATCACAGTCCAAGAACTTGCGAACGAGATAGGGATAAGCCTTGGATCGGTACATCCAATTTTGACCGAGGATTTGGTGGTAACAATGGAGCGGAAGCAACACCGTCTGCAAATCGCACAGGACCTGCTGGACAATGCAAACAGTAACCCCAACTTTCTGAACACCGTGATCACAGGCGATGAGTCGTGGGTTTATGGGTACAACCTGGAAACCAAGATGCAGTCGTCACAGTGGAAACATCCGACATCCCCGAGGCCAAAGAAAGCACGGCATGTCCGCAGCAATGTCAAGGTCATGTTGGCCGTTTTCTTCGACTCCCATGGGATTGTCCATCATGAGTACGCACCACAAGGCCAAACCATCACAAAGGAATACTATCAAGAGGTCCTTCGTTGCCTTCGTGATGCTGTGCGGCGCAAACAACCGGATCTGTGGGCAGCAAAAACTTGGCAGCTCCATCATGATAACAAGCCCACCCACTCTGCGCATCTGATTCATACTTTCTTCGCCAAACACAACATCCCTGTGGTTCGTCAGGCTCCCTACTCCCGCGACATGGCTCCATGTGACTTGACTATTTCCCAAGCTGAAAATGCCGCTGAAAGGAACCCAATTTGAGTCAAGAGAAGACATCATGCAGCATGCGACGGCCCGGCTGATCACCATTCCAAAAGACATGTTCCAGAAGTGTTTCCAACAATGGCGGAAGCACTGGGAGAAGTGTGTGCATTACCAAGGAGACTACTTTGAATGGGATTAGGGTTTTGTACCTCCAAATCAATAAATGTATTTCTGCTGATCAAAGGTTCAATACTTTTTGAACACACTACGTATTTCTATACAGTGGAGCTTCCATTTAAGGTTTGTTTTAGGAGCAGTGGATTTGAACATTAAAATGGGGAAAATCTTAAATACAGGTAATTTAACAGTGACATTTCTGACTTGAGGTCATTGAAACTGAACATTAAATGTGGAAAAACCTTATATCAAGGAACATTAAAGGTGAGTTTAGCTGTATATTTCTTTTGCAGTTCAGATAACATGGAAGAAATGCAGTGCCAACTTCAGACTTCTCGAGATGTGTTATTAATGGGTGGGCACCAAGATAAATTAATTGAATTTAATTTGAATCAGTGTCAAGAAACAAATTTGGTATGTATTTCCCTCACAATTATTTTGTTGTAATTGGACAAGATTTTCTGTGTGTTCTATTTAGTTTTTTCATTCTGTTCTGTATGCTGTTAATTTCAGTGCTTAATCATGTCACAGTTATAATCTCACAGAATTGCTGTCCATGTTATTTCATTTCAGAAATAAATTGACCACTTACTTGCTGTACATGTGTATTCATTACACAGAGAAATTCTTTCATGACATTAAACCAGAGGCACTAACAGTAATGTGGATTACCCTGCAGCTAGGTTCAAAAAAAGAAGAATACCATGTATGTTATCTGTTTGCTGTCATATATAACTTTTCTTCTAGTTACATGTGGGAAAAAATGGATGTGCTATCCTGAGACAGCATCCTCGATTTATATGTGCTGGAGATCCCACTGGTAGAATTGATCTGCGTGATCCTAACACTCTGCAAGTAGAACATACATTGGAGGCACACTCAGGAAGTTTATCCGACTTCGATGTACATGGAAATCTTTTGGTTACATGTGGATTCTCAAATAGGTATAATATATTGTATGCATATAGTTAATTATTGGTGCCATATGTGTGATGTTCCTTCTACATTTTTATTATTTTGGTCACCATGTATAGTTGTTTGTTACTGCATTTTTCTTATATATGTATACAATTACCCATTGCATCCATATGTGTTTGGGTCCTGTCGCATTGTCCAAACCCAAGGAAAGTTATCCTTGGATGTGAAGTGTACTTAGATTTTCAAAAAATATTCTTAAGTGTAATTAAATTTTCAAAAAATATTCTTCATCCTTGACTGTCATTGTTTACAGATGAATCTGGCATATTATTATCAAGATATTATGGTTAAAAAAATGTTTGTGAATTACAGTTACCTCTTGTACTGAAATGGTAATGTTTTATTAATTTGTACATATTTGGTTTATTCAGGCAAGGAAGCTTATCAGTGGACCGTTTTCTCATGGTGTATGATCTCCGTGTGATGCGTGCTGTCACACCCATACAAGTCATGTTGAACCCTCTACTACTAAGGTTTCTGCCTTCATTTTCATCTCGTCTGGTTACTGTATCTGCTCTTGGTCAAATGCAGCTTGTTGACACTGTAGCACTTTCACAGTCAAATCTGTGTTTGTATCAGGTATGTGAAAACTCATTATGGTAACTGATAAAATCAGAAAATATGCATCTTACAGTGAGTACCCATTTTAGTTGTGAGGTACACATAAACCCTATTATTTCAAACATTCAGGGTCATAAATGTTTACACCTTGTAGTGACTAGATTTATAAAAGTCAAACTCATAAATGGAAAATCCAGGTCATCACTGTCTCATTGATATTGACCTGCTACTGTCTGATTATTTTTTCAGCACTATTAATAAAATTTCCTCTGTTACCTATCTTTGTGCCTGATATCAGATATTTTCTCCAGTGTTCTTAATTTATTTGAAGGTACTGCCAGTTGAGAATTTGCTGTAATCCCGGCTATATGCGTTAGGTGAAAAGTTTCATCTTTTGGAATACAATGCCATATAGTCTGTTAGAAGTCATCCAACATCTCGGAGGAGCATGTCCTCTCCACCTTCAGCAGGTAGCAAGATGTATCTGCTTCCTGCTTCATGGTGGTTTAATGCTTGGCTTATTCTTTGACCCTGAAGAGTGGGGAAACATATTCCTTCAAAATGCTGGTTGGCTTTCACTGGACTACATGGCATTGTATCCAAGGAGAGAGGACTCTTCATAATTACTGCTCTGATAACCTCATATGCCACATATACACCTTAGATGTTCAGTAACTGTAGTACTGTAAGATTGATGATATACCATTCGTCATTAATCAACTTCATTTATTCTCAATAATCCACTTTTGCAAAAATATATTAAGTGAATATTAGTGAACTGAGGGTTAGTTACAACAAACTGTCAGGTCACTGAAAACAATACAGTGACCGGCCATCAAGCAAACCTGAAGTTAGCAGATGTTAAATAAATGGAATTTCTTTGAGCAAGAGGCATCAGCTGTTATGGACTTCAGTTTGCTTATGTTACAATTAGAGCAAAATGCATGCTGGAAACAGTATACCACCACATACATTGAAACTCCTGTTCAGTGAATCTTGAGAGAATTGCTTTTTGTACACACAATTGTTTTCAATAAGTCAATGATATGCAGACTTGTACCAAGAAATGGTTCATTTTCGTGTACGGTTTACTGTACACAGTTACGCCGAAATAATTACTGTGTTGGAACAATGAGAGAAACTGTTCTATGCAGATAATTACAATTACTTAATAATATCATATTCATTTCTAAAATAATTAATGGCATGAAATAAACATTGAAAGAACATCAGTGAAGAATCAAAGCATCTGTTGTGTCACAAGCAGCATTACTTTGGTGGGTGTTCAACATCTGATGTCACTTGCCAGAGATTATTGTTTTGCAGTGGTGATTTCTGGCAGAGAGGAAATGTATGTACTTATTTTTGTTTTGACCACAATTGTCCCAAATGGTGATAAGAGTTCTGGAAAGTAAAACAATTCTTACACAAAATGCTGGTTATTTGCTAAGTCAGAATTCATTTAATTAATGAAAATTTATACATTATTTGTAATGGGCTTTGTCTAGGACCAGAAAAAATATTTGTTGAATGTGGGAATACTAAATCAGGATTTTGCTTTGTTCCTCATATTTGTTTGTGCAGAAATATTACACAAACATATCTTACTTCATTTTTATTCCCTTTTCAGATCAATACTGCTGGCTTAATGTGTCTTTCACTTGACGTTTCTTCATCCTGTCAGTGTATGGCTTTTGGTGATGGTGGTGGTTCTATCCATTTCTATACATCCAATCCACATGCAGCCATGTTCAATAGCTTTTCACGTGAGACTGAATTTGCTGATCCAGTCGAACCTCTACCACCAATCAGTATTCTGGATGATGTTACACCATTGTCTTCAATTCCATTACCGTACTGCCAACAGGGCACTTCATTGCTCTCTGATTGGCCAGAGCAGTATTTGAAGAAAGTATACAGGTAATTTATTGTTTTTAATTTATATTCTGTAAAATGTTATGAAGATGAATTAATTTATACTGAAGCTTTTTCATTTATAAAGTACTATCATTCTTGTCTTGTCCCAACGTTTTATGGGACTGTCTGCTATGGGTTGTAGGTGCTTCAGGTCTCTTCAGTGTTAACAGTAATTCGCAGTAGTGTAAAAGCAGTATATGCCACATCAGCCCCGCATTTACTAAAATTTCTAACAAAAAAGAAGTTTCATAATGAAATTTCTGATGTTGTTTATGCCAAATCCATTACTTTGAGCTTGACAGATCTTAAATATAATGTATTTATAGTGATTGTAAATAGGGAATGGATTTGTAGGTGCCAAAAGATTATTGTGAATTTGTGTACCATGAGCAGGTATAGCAAATTGTATTTACTGGTCAGTCATAGAACATATGGTCTAATTTCTTTATATAGAAGAATGTATTTCCTGTAATATTTTCTTTGGCCAATTGATGAGAATTTTCTGGTGTTAAAGTGTTGTTTTTCTCAGTTGCCTGAGGACTAACATGTGGTACATGTTGCTTTGCTGTTCCATCAATCCCATCCCAGGGATTTTTACCATGTGAAGTAGAAAGGAAATTAATTCCTCTTGGCAGCTTCATGAAACTCTTCTACATGATAACATAAGTTAAGAAGTTTTTACAGTCCTTGTACTGTGAACTTGGGCCATCACTGAAGTCATACACCTTCTTTAAGTGTGATAAAACATCAAAAACCAAGTGGTGTATATTGCAACTTATGAAAGACTGGAGTGTAGTTGCTGTAAGCTGAAGACAGACACTAATGACACAGGAAGTTACCATTTTCTCTTGCAATTATCTGATCCTGTTATGCAATAATAAATTATAAGACGGTGGAGAGTGATCTGGTTTGTTTCTCAGTGGAACCTTTGTATGGCATCTTGGTATGAAAATGAATAATTCTATAAAAAATCAAGCAAAATATCGTTCTCAGTGTCTGGCAGAATTGTTTCTGTCAACTTCTTCGAATGTTAAGCTTGTGATTTTGCTGTATAATGATGAGTTGTTGCTTGATCTGCTGTTCAGTAGGTTATTCTTAATGAATTCTCCAATAGTACTTGTCATGGATACAGTTTCTTTCTAATCTTCACGAATATATTGCTTGTAAACTGTGCTGTCTTCCACATCAAAATCATTCGCCTGAAATAATTCATCAAGAACAGTTTGCAGTTGACTGTGTACTGGGCATTTATTATTATTATTGGAGGGGGTGGGTTTCCCCATGCACCGCGACCAGTTGTTGATCTATTGTACGTCCCCCTTTGATATTCTACAAGTCCCCATACCCTGCCAGTACTAGTGGATGCTATCGGCCCCGTTGAGCCAATGAGGTCGGCCCTCGGTACCTTGATGCTTCCCCATCTACCAGAGGTATTGGAAACTACTTGGGCAGGAAATTGTTGCCTAATTTTGCTCAGAGGTCTCCTAGAGACACCAGGATCTTTTACATGCCGTAAATCTATGACACAGGACCCACGGCTTAAAGTCCCTCGCGGAGGACTTGTTCCCTAAATTTTTCCGCCATTAAAAATTCCACCACCTCTGCTAGGTTTGAACCCACGTACCTTGAGTCATGAGGTGGGAACGTTACCCCTAGACTGTACTGGGCATTTTGAGCATGTGTGTATTATAAGTTCTCAAACTGGAGGATACCAGATTTTCAGGAAGAAGTGTATAATGTTCTTTCTGTTCTGTTACTGCAGCAACCAGTAACTTAAAATATGGATGACTTACACACACACACACACACACTCTCTCCATCCCCCTCCCCCCATTACCACCATCCATGTACCTCGCTACACCCAAACCTATTCCTTAACAAGTGCACTTGAACCCAGAAGATCGAGGCATCATTTTCGTCTGAAATGTCAGTATCTGCCCAGAAAGGTGCATGGTGTCACAACCCAGGAGACCCGTGGATTTTCTTAGCTTCTGAAAGGGTTGCAATATTATTAAGTAACAGATAAACCAATAAATTACAAAGCTATATATATATAAATGAGCAAATATTACCATAAAATTGAAGATATGAGAGGACACATAACTGCAGTAGGAGTGTATGCTTCTGAAGAGAAGAAAGAAATAAAAACTGAGGACCACTATGAAGAATTGCTGAAAGAGATTAATAAATATGACAGGAGTGTGTAGCAGACCTCCTCACGTTCATGACCAGACTTGTTACAGCAGGCTAGCTCCCTCAGCACCTACTTTCTGTGGCCAGTCTCACTTCTCAACTCACACATTCTGCACTAAATCTTATCATTATTGAGGTGTGTAGGAAGGTAACTGAATAGAATAATTGAATGGGTTGGTATCTGTGGTATTCACTGTAAACTGGTGGTGAGTGAAGCACATAGAACATGATTCTCTACCCAAGGAATATCAGCTGGGACCTCACTTGATACCAGTGAGGAAGATATGAAGCAGTGTAGGACTTGGCTCTGATTCAGTCAAATTAATAACAGGTTTTGGAAAGTCAGAATAATTATTACAACTTTGCCACCATCACTCTTCAGGTAATGTTCATAATGTGCACACATAAAATTGTTCCTTCACTCCATTCCACTGCTCTTCACATGACATCTGAATTATGCGGTTAATATTGTGACATGGATGGCGCAACGGCAAGTAGGGGTCACGTGAACTCTGCGGTCTCATGAGTGATGTGACATACCCCCACTCCTCCCATCAGTGCACAACGCTCGGTAAACACCCACTCCCCTGCGGTGACGTAACAGGAGCAACTGTGTCAGGCAACCATTGCCGTGCTGACATAACGAGGGATACCACGGTTACTATACAGCAGTAAACAACTCTCGACAGTGTTGCTAGGCAACCTGTAAACATGGCATCACACAACAGCGGTACCTATCACATAACTGATTTCTGTGTTGTCCATGCCCAGGCTAAATAAAGAGCAGCGAACACTATTCAATAGTGATGATTGAGCCAGTTACTATAGAGAGTGACTTACTAATGAGTAACGATTAACCAGTCAGTTGAATTGTAGCAGTCGCCGAGTTGGGTTGTGTCGAGTGCATGGCAGTGACTACAGGAGAAGTATTTGTGATACTACCGAGGGCAGTAATTGTGAGATTGTAAATTGTGTAATTGTAAGAGTGAGTGTTCAATAAATTCGCTATATCAAATAAGGTGTGAAGTTACATGTCGCGTGACATATACCCGACATGTGACAATTTGGTGTCAGCAGTGGAACAATATCTTTCATACATTATGGTCATAATTGTAGTAGCTTCATAACATCAGTCTGAACTGTGGTAATAATTTCAAATAAAACACACGTTCAGTTGTAACTGGTTATTTTGTCAAACTTATCGACTTAATGGCTCTCTGCAGGTGCTAGGTAAATGTCGATTGGCGGTGAATGTTGTACCCAAAATGATTCCAAAAGAAATATAATGCAGTCTTCCTTGACTCTAGTGGCGACTGCTGGTGTTTTTTCTCTGTGTCCTGTGTGTATGACTGTTGGTTTTGTGTAATCACAGAGCACTAAGTAACTTTGGTGGGTGATACTGACCGAAGTCTCAGTCAGATTGGGAACTCTTGTTTGACCAGTCTTTCTGTACTGGGCAAGTACCCATCCATTTAGAAGGGAAGGTTTGAACTCCATTTGCCAACTCAGAAGAAAACTATGAGGGNTAGCATTCCAGGGCGTTTTGACTTTATGGCACGTCTCAGTTTCTGCAAAGTGTCTTCATAGCGCTGTGCACTGACTGTGGCCCCATGCTCGAGAAATTTGACAACCAGAGGGCCCTTGCAGTCAAAGAAGAACGTCATCATCACTTTACCGGAACTTGTGTGTACGGCTTTGAATTTCTTCGGTGGAGGAGAATTCACGTGTTTTCACTGTTGGCTCTGCCGTTTGCTCTCAGGTTAAAATTTTTTCAATAATGGAAAAATAAATAGGAATGAAAATAGAAATCAATTTAGAAAGTGTGCAATGTTCAGTGATCTCAGATTAACTAATAGAAATGGCACTCAGCATTCATGTGAGGTACAACTAGTGCAGTCAGTAGCAAGTAGTGAGTCCTGAGTTGGCAGTGACAAAATGAGTTTAAAAAGACAGTGTAATGGTGTACAGTATAGTATCAGTGGAATAAGACAAACTGACATCGAGACTATAAGTGGATAACTCTAAATAACTGCTACAAAGCAGGATAAATGATGCAGTATTAACATACGATTTTCTTTTTGGTATCTCCAAAGTGGACATAGTCCAGGAGGTGTCCTACCAGAATTTTATATTCATTCCCTCATTCCAGACACATGCACAGGTCATTTTGACCTCCTTAATTTCAGTAGTCCTGGGTGACCTGTATTAATCATGCTCACTTATTTTGTCCTTACATTCAGGTATTTTTTTTTCAGACACTTGTTAATTATGTTGTTCCTCCAAAGTAAAGAGGTCATATTTACACCCATACAGGCAGCTTGCAGAATTACTGTTTTGTGAATCCTCAAGAAGTTGCTGAACATTTAGATTGCTTGTATACTTTTGTTACTAATCAAATTCAAGCAAATTCTACTCTTGAAGGAAGTCGTCTTCTGGGTTTAGGCGCCGTGTAATCTTCATTTTGGCCGACGTTTCGGAGGAACGTATCACCTCCATCTTCAGAGCAGTTGAATGGCTTGGAATGCAGAGAGCAGTAGCTGTAGTGATAGGAAGTGAAAGGCGCTGCTTATATACGAAGTAGGCAGGGGGGGTGGTTAGGGAGAACAGACCAATAGGATCATTGGAGAGCGATTAAGGCCATATATGGTGTTATGTGCTAAGGGGGGGGGCCAAAACGAAGATTACACGGCGCCTAAACCCAGAAGATGACTTTCTTCATAGTCATCGCCGTGAAAACCTCAAAACTCACAAATTCTACTCTTGTTTGTCTGCTGTTACTCTAAAATTGTGGGTTCCCCCACTAATTTCACCTGTTGAATGGCTTCTAATTTTCATTTCAGGCGGCCAGCGCCGATTGATCCAGAGATACTGAGAACCATGAAAATGCAAGGAACGATTGGCTACGCACCAAACCCCATGGGCTGCCGAAGAAATCAAGTGAGATTACAGATTTTAAAAAACACTTCATATCAAGTATTGTAGTCTGTTATTCTGATAACCATGATTGAGTGAATGCAAAAATGATTTCACGTGAATACCACATACTTACATAAGTTTCATGTAACTTTGGAAGCTAAATGGGAACCTCCCTGTTTTCACTTGTGCATGGTGGGTATCTTGTCTGAATGAATGTGGACTGTGATTATGGTGTTTGTTAGGGATGCTGATATGTGACATACTGTTAATTATCGGATATTAAAATAACACTGTAAATTCAAAATATCTCTTGCATTGATACTGAGTGGCACATTACGTTAAGAACTACTTGTAATAAAATTTGCAAATACCTCACATTTCACTTATTTAATTTCGAAATTTTGATGCTGCAACCTGAGAATGAGCTCAGTTTACCCTTCCACAGACTAGAGGTCAGTTTGTGTTCATATATTATCTTCATGACAGCCTGCACTTTGAATCTGTTATTCATGAAGGAGATAATTTTGTAAAATTGTCCTCTGCCTGTGTAGTTAGCTTGAGATTTATTCCCCACCATATATAGAGGCCCATTATCAGTATCCTGTTTTGGGTGATCCACTGAGAAAGTAAATATTTGTTGTTTTTTAAACACACTTCTTTGATGGCCATTTTACCCAGAAGTGGAACATACAGTACATGTCAGTTGTAAATCTTTGTATTCGTTAGCTATAGCTCCAATTGTGACGCTTTTCATTCCTCAGCGTGTCTGTTGTTTCCTGTAGCTCTCTCTAATTGGTTCATTCTCAAAGTATCAAGAAGCCTGGAAAGAGTGTAGTCCTACTCCATAATGTAGTATACAAATTTCATAATGTAGTTTATTAAGCTTACCTGCAGTCTTTTTATAAAAACAGATTAGCAATTATGCAAAAGTTCATGTGTGTCCTTAAGTAAATTGGCCTTTGTTATGGGTCATTGAATCTGAAAATTGGATTTGCTCATCAAATGATAGTGAAAGTCTCCCATATCAACTAAAAAAATGTAACCAACGGTTTAGGTACTGATGCTAGGTATGAACTGACAGACATGACCGTAACTAATCTGCGCAAGGACTTCCAATTTAAATGTTGTCAAAATCAGTGTAACAGTTTTGAAGCTATGAGGAGACAACAGAAAATTCCATTTGTGTGTGATGCATGCAGAAATGTATAGTTCCTCATGCAAAATGTCCATTATATTTGTCAGGCTCAACTGGAGTGGCCCAGCAACTTTTAGTGAAAGTCTCCCATATCAGATTAAGAAACGTCATCCCATGGTTTGAGTGCTAATACTAGGTTATAGGCTGATATTCAGACATGACCTGCATATAAGGTGTTCTGTTTTGCTTTCTGAAGGATGTCCAGGAGTGCTGGTAAGTACTGATTAGTAACTGTTTCACTGTGATCTTAAACAATCATTTTAATTAGCATCAGGATATATTGTACCCCACAAAAATCTGTAAAAATTTTTGATACATGCTCACACAGTAATGAACCTGCCATATAAGGGAAAACTGCTTGAAAATTTGTTTAATTAAGTGGAACGTTGATTAACGAGCATAATTCATTCCAGAATCTTACTCGTAATGCGAAACACTTGATAAGCGAAACAATTTTTCCCATATAAATTAATGTAAAATAGGATAATGCATTCCATGCCGAAAAAAATACTCAAAAAATTTTATGTATAACGTTTATTCAAAGAAAATTATATATACATTGTTACGGAGCGTGAATCATCTTCATCTTTTCTTCTATGCGGAATGAACCAACCTGGAATGCAAATTCGATTTGCAGAAAAAAAAATAAAAATAATTAGTTTATTATTTATGATACATATCTAACTCTTTTTTACTAGAAAGCTGTCTAGAGACATTTGTTTTTGCCTTACAATGCTGTGGATGCCGGTTCTTCTCTTAAACTTCTCGAACCACCCACAGCTTCCCTTAAATGCTTCTTCTTCAGCCATTGATGATCCTGGCGTCTTGTTAACGAGGTCGATGAAAATCACTTTCGCCTTCTCACAAATGTTCTCGTTAATAGTGTCGCCTTGCGATTGCTTTTCGTTTATCCATATGAGGAGCAACCTTTCAACATCGTTGAGAATACGTAACCGTTGCGTAGATATTCTTGTCACTCCCTTTGAAGCATCTGTCTCCTTAATCTTGTCCTTGTTCTTGAGGATAGTGCAAATTGTTGATGTAAACCGATTGTATGTGCATGCTAGATCAGCCACGCTCACACCTCGGTCTCGCTTTTCAATGATTTTATGTTTCATTTCTACGGTTATTTTTATTCTCTTATGGCTGTCTTTTTTGCAGCTTTTTCTTCGGGGACATTTTTGCAAGGGTTATTAAACTTTGCACAAAAAAATCACAAATAATATGTCTGAACACAAGTTTGGAAAAATGTGTGATCACAAGCGACACTAAGATGCTAGCAGAACGAGTGCTAAACACAGACTGATGTAGCAAGCGCACAATCCAGGACTTCCCCTCTCGTCGCTCGTTATGTGAAATGTCACTTGTTAAGTGAGTCATTTTTTTACAATTTGTTTTGCTCATTATGCAAATTACTCATTATGAGAGGTGCTCGTTAAATGAGGTTCCACTGTATTTAAAATAATAAGGTAAAATTTATAATAAAAACAAATGGACACCTAGATTGAAGCCTTCTAAACATATTCAAATTTAAGTCTGCTGTCAACAGATGGCAGAATTCAGGCAGATGTATTATATACACAGTGGTATTCATACTGTACACATCTGTGGTTGATGGAAATTGTTGTGTGCCATAGGATTTTATGTGAGGTAAGGAAGTCTGTAAGTTTTAAGTTAACAGAAAAACAGTTTTCATTTTTAAGATATGACTGAGAGAAAGTGAAAAACTTGCTTCAGTTAGCAAAAACACTTTGGTTTATAGAGATCTTGGGAAAAATGTATGTGGTATTCAAGTGAAGAAAATGAGTGAAGGTGGAGGTAAAATGTTGAATATAAGTAGTTCCTGTCCATCATCTGGGTATAGCTCCAGATGAAGGTTTGGATATTGAGAATATGCATGAAATCTGTACCAGTGCTAGCAACCTTGTGACATCCCTGGTGAAATCTTTTTTTTTTAATTCAGTTGATTAGATGAAATGTGACACAATATAGAGATCTTTAGTTTGGATTTAACATTCTTGTTATGAGAAGTTTGGGTTCTAATGCCTGTTGTTTAATGTCGAAGGTTGAGTGCTTAACTGTGGTACCTAGGTCCTGCATTGGAATCTGGGTAATTCCATTATTCTGTCTTTGAAAGAAATAGCAATTTACAGCTACTTTTAATAGTTGCAAAAACTTAAGTTTGGCATAATGATCCTGGTAATGATGAAAACGGTTAGTAGTCAAACATATGCAACCTTCTGTCAATTATAGAATGCAAGGTCTGTGTCAAAGGCTGTGACATAGAATAGGTCCTTGGCAGTATACTGTCATTTGCAGTTAGATAAAAGTAAATTGAGTGTATTGAATGCAATCTGAAATCCAAGGCTCCAGAGGCATTGCCACTTTTGATTAATAAATAGTTCAGTGGCAGAAGATTGTAGGCCAGGTATTTCATAATTGGATCAAACAAAAAGAAGCATAAGGTAGTTATGAACATTTTAATGTGATATTATTCTGTGAAAGCTCATGTGTGTGTGTGTGTGTGTTCATTGAAAATACTTGAGTCTACAGTATTAATAATCAGCGAACTTGAACGCATAAAGTGGGCAAATAGAAATGGGCAATTTGTTGTATTTCAGTCCAGTACTGTCACTTTCTCAATTTGAATTTTATATTGTGGTATGTAGATCCATTGCTAGGCAACGGCCTGTAAACAGCAGAGTAATGGTGTTTTCTGTGCAGTCAATGCTGAGATGTTACGAACAGGACAGGTAGTGAGGGAACATATTGTCATGTGTGTGAATGACTATAGACAGGATTTGGATTGGTAATTGGATTTATTGATCACTTGCAGATCATAACTACAAGTAACTATAGCACTATCACTAATTCGCACTCTGTAGTTCACTATGGAACGTACTAAGTCTTGTTAGTATGCTGTTAGTATCTTCACCAGTCTTCTAGTAATGGCTTTCAACAGCTGACGTTCCCCCTACTCTGGGTTCTCGAACTATCCCTGTGCATCAGCTACCAGCTTTTAACAGCATCTCACAAGGACAGAACTGCAGTTGTCCGACTAACTCACTAACTTACCAACCAACTTATCACTTCCCTGCACAGCACTAACTTTCAGTAATTGTCCTGCTTATAACATCCTTGCACAGACCACACAGAAAACACCATTCCTCTGTTACTTAGCAGCAGGCATTGTTTACAGAGTCATTACTTAGCAACGGGTCTATGTGCTACAATACTCTCTCCATCTTCAGCAAACTTAGTGCTTACATCATGATGATTCCTTACTTGGCTTACTCTTCAGCCCTGAAGATGGAAGTGTTGTGTTCCTCCAGAACTCGTCACAGCATTATATGCCAGAATATAGAAATGTTGTGACAGCCTGTTGTAGAGCAAGGTGCTAGCTAGTAAGCAGCATATAGCAAGGTGCTAGCTAGTAAGCAGCTTATCTTGGCTAAGAAAATTACATGCCACTACATGGCATAATTGGAGGTTCCATCTGCACTCAGAAAATGTAACAACTTCTGTTAGTTTTGGTCACCTTCCATGCAGGATTCCAGTTGGTAAAACCTACAAAGTGTGTGGGTTATTTCTATACCCTTTTTGTTTCAATTTTCCCCCAGAAATGATAATCACATGCATTCAGATCATGGACACCGACAGCCATCAACCTATAATTATTACCTGTTCATTCAGAACAGTTCATGAGAGTCCATATTGGTTTTCTGTGTTGTTTGATAGTGCATTTTCCTGTTGAAAATATATACAAGTCTAATTCTCAGAAGAAGGTATCTTTAGTACTGTACCTCACCATGGTTTGACACAAAGG